AAACAAGGTATATTTCTACTTATAACTATAATATCTTGTAAATGGTGGTGATGTGGGCTATAGTAGTTGTTGGTGCAAAGTTTGTCTGCTTTAGTTTTGCTTTTTTAGTATGTTCGTTTCAGTGCCGTTTTGGGCTTAGTTTGTATTATTGAAGTTTATCTAATGAAAGTCTTCCTTGAATTTTTTATTTATTTAAAAAAAAGGGATAAAAATATGAGTTTTGAGTAAAATGAGGCTTCGCGATTTATAAACGAACACAAATTCTATAGGTTCTCAATAAAATATAGAGGTTTTACAGTTAAATATTTTCGTTTATCCAACATCTTGATATATAATTAAAACTTGAATTTTCTTTTTGTCGCACCACTAATAACAGTGTGTCAAACACCCTGATCCGTCTGAAAATCAAGCATAATCCTTGTATGAGGTTCTAAAAATGAACAGTTCAAATCATGAGTTTAAATTGTGGCATTGTTCCAAACAATTGGTTAGCGCCATATTATCTTACCAATTGGTTTAGCGATTCAGTGCTACTCTATGTGTGCACGCACGTAAACATGAAATAATAATTACCCATTACTTTTCTCAAATTCATTTTCTTTTATTCTCAGGGTGAACAAATTTGTATGACTTGTTCAAGTTGAATAATAGAACTAGCATTCAATTGCGATTAGCTTATATACTAGAAAACAATAAATATAAGTTTTTGTGTAAAATGAGACTTCACAATTTACAAAGTAACAAAATTTCCAAAGATTTTTAGTCAAATATAGATGCTTTCCAATTAAATATTTTCATTTAACCAATAGCTTTACTTCAAGCTTGAGTTATTCTTTAGCTGCACAAGAATCGACAACGATAGTTTTTTAACTTTTAAAAAAAATATAAATTAATTAATTCATAAATCGATAAAACGCATGTGCAAACCATTAATATCTAAAATGAATGAGATTGAATTAATCTACCGTTTAGTTTGGAGTTATCCTACTAAATATGTTCTTCATTGTAAATGCGTTTCACATCATCAATAACACTAGACTTATAAAAAGACAAACTTCTTATAGATTCTCCACCATTCTATAGCTTCATTGGCACAAAGTATATTTTCATAAATAAAAAATGGCAAGTTTCACCGCTTATCAAACTTCTGCAATCTTGATTTTCGTGATTGCAACAATGGTGATTTTGCCAGGACTTGCAACCCTAGCACCCGCCCCTTCAAATTTTAAGTTCCTAGAGGAATGCAAATCAAGGCTTCATGACTGGTGTGGAAAAGAAATAGTCGTTACAATAATTAAGGAATGGTCTATTAGTGATAGTTGTTGCGCGGAGCTTGTATTAATGGGTCAATCATGCCACATTGCATTAGTGAACAAAGCTCTGTCGGGCCCTCTTGCCAAATTAAACAAGTCGGTTGCTTTGACCAGGTGTGCAGAAATTTGGACTCAATGTTCCAATAAAAACAAGGGTTCACTGGTGAAAACACGTTTCACACAAAAAAACACGGGAAAACATCCTTTTGTCAAAGGGTTCCCGTCTCTTCTTTAAAATTCCAATTTTTTTATATATTTTTTAAGTGCCTTAGAAGCGAAGCTCACTGATATCAGGCGCTAATAGGTTCTCACAATATCTCTCCCCTGCAACTTCTCCTTCTTCAGAAGAATAACTTAGTCTCTCAATTAATTGTGTAATTGATTTGGTATTGAAAAATACTTGAGAATAAACGAAATCAAAGTTTTGAGATGAAGGCCTTAAATTTGATATACTTATTCTCTTTTTACTACATATCTTGTTTACAACGTTCCTCACTCCTCCACCTCATCACCTATTTAAAGGAAAGTTCCTACGCTACGAGCTTACAGAGCGAACAATGATGATGCCTCGACGTGGTGGTCTCGACCTCAGATATCTAGAACCTGGGGGCGAAAAACAGAAAATGTGAGTAGACAAAAAGCAAAGCTTTAAACATAAATTATATTCAACATAAATAACCCTCTTCGTTGTGGAAAATAATACCATATAATAAAATCATATATATATATATATAATCCGAAACTTGAAATACCTCAATTCAATAGACTCATATCATAACAAACCATAATTAAAACCATATATCAAATGCAATCTAAATTTCTTGGAGAACATTGTAAGATAATAAACTGAAAACCTTCAAAGTAAAACCCTTTTACTCAAGCCGTTTCAAACTCATAAACTTCTCCAAAAATCAATTCTCAACCTTAAATCCTTTTCATACTAATTAAGCAGAATCCATTTTTTTCCCGCAATCATACCCTATCGAAGGCATATGTTGCAAAGCACCATAAGTCCATTGTCAAATATGAAATTCGTGTCAAATATTCACACATGTGTAGAGTACCCTCAATACACATGCTCAAGAACCCTCAACTTGGAAATAAATCCACACATATACCCACACAAATACCCATATACATATACACATAAATACAAATATACACTCACCCAAAATCAATACATCATCATCATGTACCGGGGGAAACAATCCAATCGGGGATTGTTTCACAAGACCACAAGATAGCAACACGTTAACCAGTGACTAGGGATAAGCAACCAACCGAGTGATAGGAATAGCCCCGGATTCCCCCTCAAAATTCATGAGAAACCCTGCTTCCCGTTTGACAACTAACCTATGATAGACCCACTTACAAAAATAGTCCCCTTCTTCGAAACTAAGGAAAAGGGGGAACGAGACTCCTACCAAAATTAAGACAGAGTCTTCCCTGAAAAATGGACTTTACCAAATTTTCCACCTGTCAAAAACAACAGAATAACAACCAACTGCCAGCACACATAATGTAGTAGCACATAGAAATTACAAAATAGGCCTCCGACCTAAAGAACAGTACTTTAATACAGAGTACTAGAACAGATCAACAAAACTCAAACAGATCAATTTGTGGCTGCACCTAGGTTAACCTAGGTTGCCTATGTACCCTTTCCAAGGGATCAAGCCACACGTAGTTCTTTCGAATAAAAAAGCTCATAATTCGGAAAATATATAGATATTGTCCAAATAAAACCTAAACTCATCATTGACAGTATCCAGGGTAAAGCTAACAACCCCTTGGTGTACCCAACAAATTATTCAAGATATATGGGCCCTGTCTTCTTCTGTTGCAAGCGTTCGGTTTCAACACGTCTTTAGGGAGGCTAACTTCACGGCGGATGCGGTTGCAAAATTAGGTCATGGCTTTTCTAATCAAGTTTTATGGGAGCTTGGACTCCCGTTATCTGTTAGGACCCCCTTTTATTTTGACCTCTTTGGGCGCTCTTGCCCGTGAGGCTTTGTCTTGTAATTTTTTCTTTTCCAAAAAAAAAAAAAAAAAAAAAAAAAAAAAAAACCCACCCACCCCCAAAAAAATTTAGATTCATTCTCAACTTCAATAAACACATAGCATATAACTAAATATGTAATAAATTCTTTTCTTCCCATGATTCATAACTAAAAACAATTTCCTTGTAAAAACTCACATGTACTTTGCATAACTCTTAAAACTAACCGTTTACTCTGAACTCAAATGACTTTTCCAAAATCATTTCTTTCCCACAACCATACCCTCTCCAAGGTGTATATTACAAAACAACACTGTCCAAACATCATAACAATTATCACACCTATGCAGAGCACTCACCATGCACATTCTCAAGAAACCCCAACTTGGAAACCATGTCCTATGAGCGTAGACTTCTCATCCAAGGCCTAGGGCACACCCGACCAAAGGTGCCCGAACCCAAGGCCTAGGGCACAACCGACCAAATGTACCCGAACCTTTACCACACGCCGGAAAGTGCAACGCCACATGTGATAAAGTACTAATAACCAAGTGAGCCCACATGCCGGAAAATCCAACGCCACGTGTAGGTAAAGTAACCAATATCCAAGGTGTTTGTGCCTAATAAATCACAGTCGTCAGAAAGGACCTCTTCTCGGCCATAGCACCTGTTCATGGACTGAAACGGCCACGTTTTGTCTAACATTTAGCCTTTTCGAAAACAGAAGAAAAATACAAAGGCAGGATCTTCTCGGCCTCACAACCACGACATTATAAGCCGAGGTCCATGAGAGACACGGCCAAAGATACTATGGTCAAATCGCCATGTGGCCTCAGGGTCCCACGCCCCATTTAATGAAGTAGTGCCTCTGACCGCCACAGCTGAACCACTGGGTGCAAGAAGCATTTAATGCACGAGGGCAGAAGGGAAGTGATTGAAGTCAGGATTTGGTAACAGGAATCAGAGTGGTTAGGCGCAAACATTCTCACAAAGCATTCTCACAGCTTGAGGTCAGATCACCAACCACTGAACCAGAGCATTAAATGTGTTCCCATGGCCAAGAGTGCAGAGCCCACGATCAGGGCGGTGGCAGAGATTTGCCGAGATTTATGGGGGTCACACCACCATGCTTCACGATCCCAAATGCCGATTTGACTACCCACTTGCCCCGATCAGACTCCACCATGCAAATATTTTCAAGTCATCAGGCAGATTTTTTTTCAGCCTCGATTGGCCCTCCAGGGCTCTTCCTATAAATACTAAGCTCAAGACCACGTTCAAGGGGTTCAAACACCAAACCAAAAGCCTCCCACGGAGCAACTTATATTTTCTGTAATGCACTTTCAATACCTTTATCTGCTTTCGTAGGAGTAGTGGTAGACTGTAAGGAAAATTCATTCATCAATATATCATACGACCATGATTTTCAAGGCGCCGGAGCACCACCTCTGCTATCGCCTCACTCACCCCATATATCATACAATCGTCGCTCTCTGAGCAACGCGCCAGAGCACCGCCTAAAAACCCACCACCAACACCACCACTAAATGGCCTTGTAGCTCAGGCCGTGAACCTGACGGCCGAGATTCGTTCCTCACTCGGTCACAATCGTTTGATTAGGAGTCGGACGCAAAACTGGCGCAAAATTTAAACCATCTTCTACCCGAACCTCATCATCACCTCAACGCATGGTAGACCGTGCTGGCATGCCCGCGCACAACCGCACCACATCCAAAAGGAGGACGTCACGTGTTGACGCAAATCTCCTCGGCCCGGAGCACCAGGCCGCGAGATTTGCGACGGACCAACACAAGGGAGCCCACACGCAAGAAAATCCAACGCCACGCGTGGATATAGTAACCAAGGAAGGCACATATGATGGTGAGATTCACAACCCATATATATAATATAAACATAATATAGCCTCCCAAATTCTCAATATTCCAATGTACCCAAATATTTATTCATAGTATAGAAAATAAACTCTCACAAGCATAAATTTCATAAAGACCCAAAATATTTATAGTCTCAATAATCAAAATAATCCAAAGTACGTAAATATGCAAGACAATCCATAAAACACTTTCATAATCAAACCCCACAATTAAAATAATAAAATAATATCATAATCCCAACATAATCAAAATAACTCAAATAACAGGTAAGAGGATTAGTAGACCTCCTATGCGCCTCATGATAACATAATGCACATAAGGCTTTGGATTGGTAGACCTCCTATGTGCATAGGATGGCTCGATTTATGGAACACTCTTCAGATCTCCTTTGTCGGTTCTCATGGACCTTCCTTTACTGGCAGTAACGGCAGATCAGGTGGCAGCGGCTGCTACTTCATTCTTGGGTGTGATTTTAAGGTTTGTGTGTTTCTTACGGTTTTTGTTGTGTTGGGCCTAAATTATGTGTATTATGGTTGGGCTTGTATTTTGTTTGGTTGTGTTTTTGTTTTATTGTTATGTTTTTTGTATTGGGTTTGTTTGTATTTTGTAAGGTAATGAAATCTTCATTCCTTCGACCCAAAAAAAAAAGAGTGCACTTACCAAACATGAAAATGAAATTTCATAACCATTCCCAAGCTTCTAAACCTTGAACCAAACAGATCCTGAATTATTATTTATTAGCTGGAATGGAAAGGACAGTATGTCTAATAACTCCTCATACCCCCTTGGCAGGGAAAGACCTACCAATTACTTGGACAAGTCAATGAAGTGTAGATTCAATACATTACGAATGCTTGAGTTTGCCAAACAAGTCATTGAAGTGTAGATAGAGTACATTGTGGATGCTTGAGTTTGCCACAATTTGGCAAACTCAAGCATCCATAAGGTATATATGTAGCTGAGTTCGTTTAATTTCTCATTGAAGGATTGATATTAAGATATGGCATATTACTTTAATCATTGGCATCTTTTGGTTTTTTCCCTAATGTCATGTTTTGTTTCTATTTCCCTAGAACAAAACTTCAAGTTGCCATTTGTTGATGCCCAAAATCGGGGGTTAACTTAGGTGGAAGAAGTGTGAAGTCTTCAGTGGGGCAATAGAGTTGTGGACCTTCAGTAAGGAGAGATCATACAAAAGAAATAGAAAAGAAGTAATCGTCAAACTTCGGAAACCGGTGTGGTACCTACCGAAGACTCTCCTATGCTTAAGTTAATGAGTGTGGGATGTGTAGTAATTTTGGCAGAATAATAGTATGGGTAAAGAGTAGCTACCCTTTTTACCTGGGCATTATTTCTTTTTTTATATATATAGAGAAGTGAAAGTGAGAGTTTGCACAAAGTTTCAATGTGGGACTTTGTGCAAATCCCTTCAGTGTCCATGGTTCTAGGTTCTATAACTGAAAGCTTCGGCAATAACCTTAAGCAGGTAATTTCTACATCCGAGGAAGGTGTTTTTGTTAGCTGTGAAAATGGGGTCACTGGTACCTAAACTTTCTCATAAGTGTACTACCTTCGACATGTTGTGGGTTCGTCCGTGTGTTGGTCCTCCAGTGTTAAATATGCTCAGTTGATTATGGTATAAACACTACTGAAAGTTGTGAATCTTGGGAATTGGCTTGCTATTGAGGGCTGGATGAAACCTTCTCTCTTTGATGCCATACCCAACAATGATCTTTTGGTACGAAGGTTTGATTTCATTCAATTTCTATCGATGCTCACGGAATTTACTTATTACTGCTCACAATCTAACAAATGATATAGAAGAAAATTTCATCAATCCATAAGCTAATGAGAAGCTAAGCTTGATAGGTTGATGCCAAACTTTCTTTAATATACAAGCGACAGTCTAAATTACAAACTGATACCAAACTTTAATATATATATATGCAGATTTGGTAACAGTCCAACTCTTGGAGGAATTGAGTTAATGAATGAGCCTCTAGCACCAGGTGTCTCTCTAGAAAGCCTAAAGAGCTATTACAAAGCTGATTACAACACAATGCATAAGTACAGTCCAAGCGCCTATGCGATCTTAGCAAACAGATTGGGAGATCGTGATCCAAATGAGCTCCTCTCATTCACCCAAAACCTCCATGGCATAGTCATAGACGTGCATTACTACAACCAATATGAACCCAAGTTCAACAGCTTCAATGCACAACAAAACATCAATTACATCTGCAACCAACGAGCTTCTAGTCCCTGAACTTACTCGATTTTCATTTTAATCATTGAATTCACAAAATGATTGTTGTAGTCCCTCAACGCCACTTTCGTTAGTAACGTTGCTCTTGCCATTAGATTTTGTTAAATTTTATGTTATATTAAGAGGTAAAATTGTCACTTCAAATTTAAGCCCAGTCACCCATACCATCCAGCACTCCCACCACCACTTTGTACCCAAATCCACCATTTCCACCACCACAAGAACAAAAGAACAAGGCTTTTTATCGCAAATGGTCCTTGATGTAAACGAAATTATCACAATTTGTCCTTAATGTTTTTTTGTGACATTAATGGTCCTTAAGGTTATTCTCTATCAATCAAATTGGTCCTTACCATTAGCCTTTGTCAATTTTTTTGATAGAGTGCTGGCACATGTGTGGAGCCTACACATCCAATTATATAAAGCTAAGTGGATTTAAATAAAAGATATCATAAAATTTAAAATCCAATAAAAATTTAAGAAAAAGGAGATTAAAACTTCAATAAATAAAAAAAGTGAAATCATCCCTCTCCCTCCCCCTCCACTCCCTTCTGTATCCCCCTCTTCTCTCTCTCTCTCTCTCTCTCTCTCTCTCTCTCTCTCTCTCTCCCCATGCCTTCTTTCTCTATGTTCTCTCTCCAAAGCTGCAACATGACCCACTCTCTTTCTCTCTCTTTTCCAAGAAAGAATCAAGAAAAGAAGATGGCAGCAAATAAAAAATTGGTCACGAGAGTTGAGTGAGAGCAGAAGAAAGGGCTCTTAAACTGTCAATGGTTTCCCTTAAAAAAAATTAAAACTTTAATTTAAAAAACTTGGGTATGTTGAATATCAAATCTTCGAATACAATTGTGTAGACAACTTGTGAAATTTGACTTGTTATTGAATGAAATCAAAGGCCTACTTTAAAAAGGCTAACATAAACAAACTGAACAGGAAAATAAGGAAAAAAAATATCTCATATTTAACAATCCCTGACAAATAGGGATTATTAACAAAATAAAACAACGGCTAAATATCTAACAATCTCTCCCTTAAAGTGAATATTGCTCAAGCAATCCTCGCAACTTCACAAACATTTCCAGCTTCAATGGTTTGGTTAATATATCTGCAATATGTCTTGACTCTGTTAATACACCACCTCAACAACTTCTTCTTTTGTAAGGTTACAAAGAAAATGAAACCTAACATCTATATGTTTGCTTCTCCCATTTAACATAGGATTCTTTGAGAGTTTAATAATAGTTGAACTATTATCATAATAAATCAATGTTAGCCCAACCTAATTGCAATGTAATTCTTCAAGAATTCTTCTTAACCAAATAGCTTAGCAAGCACAAGAAGCAGTGTTGCTATGAATTTAGCTTTAGTTGTGGATAAAGTAACAACATGCTGCTTCTTCAAGGACCATGAAACAACTCCTGAACTCAGCATAAAAACTTGACTAGATGTATTATTTCTATCTTCCAAATCCCCGGTATAATCATTATCACTAAAACCAATTAATTTATTTCCTTTTCCCTTCTTGTAACAACACACCATAATCAGCAGTACCTTTCAAATATCAAAACACTCTTTTTGTAGCTTGAAGATGAAGTTCAGTTAGAGCTTCCATGAATCTGCTGATGAGACTAACCACAAACATCATGTCCAGCTAATAAATACATTAAGTTGCCAACAATTTTTTTGTAAAAAGTGTTGTTACTTCTTACTCCTTCATCTCTTGTGAGCTTACAATTTGGAACAATTGGATTCTGAACAAAATTGCAATCATTCATCTGAAACCTTTCTAAAATTTCTTGAGCATACTTTCTTTGGCCAATAAAAATTCCAGCTAGTGATTGCACCACCTCAATACCAACAAAGTAACGCCTCCTTCCTAGATCTATCATATCAAACTCATCCATCATAGATTTTTTGAACTCAACAAACATTGTTTCATCATTTCAAGTGAATATCAAAATCATCTACATACAGACAAACAAGCAGAAAATTACCTCCCTCTCTAGATTTGACATACAATGCATCCTCATATGGAGATTTTTGGAAGCTTCCTTTGAGAAGTAAGCATCTATACGACTGTACCAAGCCCGGGGTGCTTGTTTCAGTCCATATAGAGCTTTTTTCTATTTATAAACTTTCTGCTCACTCCCTTTATGCACATAACCTGAAGGTTGATCAACGAAGACTTCCTCATTCAACTCACCATTAAGGAAGGTGGATTTTACATCAAGTTGATAAATAGGCCAAGAATTTTGTGCTATCAATGAAACCACCAAAAGAAAGGTGTCATGTTTTGCAACCGGTGTAAAAACTTCAGCATAATCCACACCATATTCTTGTGTATATCCCTTAGCCACCAGCCAAGCCTTGAATTTATCAACCTCTGCTTTCTTATTTAGCTTTGTTTTGTATATCCATTTAACACCAATGGTTTTTCCTTCTTCAGGAAGATTAGTTAACTCCCAAGTATCATTATTTTTAATTGCTTCTATCTCTGCATCCATGGCTTTCCTCCATTTTAAATTCTTCACAGGATCATTAAATACTGTAGGTTCACTATATGCAAATAGAGCAAGATGAGCAATAGTTTCATCATCAGATAATTCATCCCTACTTACATAAGTTTTCATCCATTAGGGTCTTTTTCTTGGACGTTGAACATCTACAATTGAGGGTTCAATTTCAATTGGCTCATTTGATGGAGCATTTGACAAACTTCTCCAGGGGATTGCTCTTCCTCTTCAGTCTTGCTTTCATCATTGGCATCTAAATCAAAACATATTTATTTCTTATGTTACTCTAATCCCAACTAATATCTTCATCAAACACAACATCACGACTAATGATTACTTTCTGAGTGAGTGGATTAAATAGTCTATATGCTTTGGCTTCTTCACTGACACCAACTAACACGCATTTCACCCTTTTGTCATCAAGTTTGCTTCTCTTTGCTTAACCTACAGAGGCACAAATATCTCTCTATTTTTAATGGTTTTTCTCTCTTTTAAAAGGGAACCACACTTTTTTCTCACCCCAAAAAAAAACCCAACTCTTTTCAATTTTTATTATTTATTTTCTTCTTCCTTCTCCCTCTTCTGCAACATCTCTCTTTTACTTATTCTCCTTCCATCTAGTTTCTCTCTCCTTTCTCACGAGTCACGTCTTTCTAGGTCTCTACTCCACCCTTGCCTCTCTTTCTCTCTCCTCTTTTCTTTGGCTTCCTCCATCGACGCTTCTCTCTCTCACTCTCGGTCGGTTGCGGTAGCTGACGAATTTGGTATTCGGATACCGCCATCGGTATCATGGTTGATCAGTTCAGTTGTTCAACCGCAACTGTGCGTTGAAGTTTTAGTCAATTGGTTTACTACTGGGCATTTTTGGTCGGGTACCAACAATTTGTGGGTTTTGCAGTTCAACCGCACAACCCTAGTTCTATTGTGGTGTGTACGGTTTAGTAAGCTGTCTATGAATTTCATTCATCTCACACAAGTTAGTGAATTCATGTTAGGTAAATTCACCTCCATGATTAGTACGAAAAACTTTTATGAATTGGCCAGTTTCTTTTCCAACTTGAGCTTTAAATCTTTTAAATACAACAATAGCCTCAAACTTTTCTCCCAAAAAATAAACCCATGTTTTTTTGCTATAGTCATTAGTAAAGGTAATGAAGTACCTTTTGTTGTTATTCGATGTGGGGACTAATTGGCCGACAAATGTCTAAATGGACTAGCTGTAGTGGTTGTGTTGCTCTCCATGTGCTATCTTTGGGAAATGAGTCACGATGCTTCTTGTCAATTATGCAATCCTCACAAACCTTTGACTGAATTTGTGGAAGTCCTTTCACTATTTTCTTTTGTTGCAAGGTTTTTAGCCCATTAAAGTTCAAATGCCCATGTTGATAGTTCCATAGCCATGTGGGATCTTGTACTATTGATTTGTGACATATCTTGTCAGTATGAGTGTGCAAAGGAAACATCCAATTTCCTGTCTTCTTGACCTGTGCAATAAGGCCTTTATATGGATGATGAATTTGACAAGAATCATTTTGAATGGTGATGTCAAAACCCTTCTCCTGTAACTAATCAAGACTAATCAAGTTACTTTTGAGTGCTGGAACATAAAACACGTCAGTAATAGTACGCATGCTGTTATTCATCAAAACTTTAATATTACCCTTCCCTATGACACACATACTAGTATTGTTTCCAAGCTTCACATCCTCCCTAAAAGTCTCATCTAAATAACAGAATAAGAGTTTGTTACCACTCATGTGATTGCTGCAGTCAGAGTCTAAGTACCATGTATCACCTGAGTTAATCTCCTTCTTTTCGATGTAGGCCATCAAAAGCATATCTTCTTCAATTTCAGCATAGTTCATCTTTGTTTCCTTCTCCTTGTCATGAAATTCATATAAGAAATGGACAAGCTTGTTACAATGATAGCATTCCAAACTTGCCTTGTCAAATGTTACTCATCTACCTCTTCCTCTTCCTTGAAATCCACCACGTCCTCTGCCTCTCCTAGTGGATGTTTCTCCACCAATGGTACCTTTCAAGGCTAGCTCCTCTACAGCATGACTATTCATCCTCTGCTCATGTACCAGCAATGAACTCTGCAACTCATCAGTTGAAAGACTATCAATGTCATTTGATTCTTCAATGGAACACACCACATAATCAAATTTGGAAATCATTGAGCGAAGGATTTTCTCTATGACTGCAACATCTCCCATTTTCATGGAAAATAATCATTCACTGACTCTTCTCCCTTCATGTGAAGAGTCTCAACCTCTTTGCGAAGAGCTTGAAGTTGTGCATGTTTGACCCTTGTCGTGCCTTGATATTTCTTTTTTCATGGAGTCCCAAATCTCTTTGGCAATGTCCTTCTCGAGGATGGTTTCCAAGATGGCACGATCTATTGCATGGAACGTGTAATTCTTTGCCTTCAAATCCTTCAGCTTTTGGTCGTCGAGTACCTTTGTCTGTGCATCAATCAGAACTATACTTTCTACTAGTTTAGTAATCCCATTCTCTATAAGACCCCAGTACTCTTTAGATCGTAGAAAGTTCTCCATAAGCATGCTCCAATGGTCATAGTGACCATCAAAGTGAGGGATTGTTGGTTGGACAAAACTATTGTTCTCTGACGCCATGTGATCTTGTTGCTGCAAGTGAGAAGACTGCGGCTTCCTTGATTTTCCGCCCCTTGATGGAGCTCTAATACCATATGTTGAATATCAAAGCTTCGAATACAGTAGTGTAGACAGCTTGTGAAAATTGATTTGTTATTGAATGAAATCAGAGGCCTAGTTTAAATAGGCAAACAAAAACAAATGAAGAGGAAAACAAGGAAAACAATATCCCACGTCTAACAGTCCTAGACTTATGGGATTCTCCAAAAGAATAGATCAAATGCTAACTAAGTCCTTGACAAATAGGGATTATTAACAATACAAAACAAGGACTGAATATCTAACAAGGTATAGGGATTTGGGGGTTCGGGTTGGTTGTTGGTAGGGCTGGTGGGTGGGTTGCGAGTGGGGCTAGGTTTGGGGGGGTGGTTATTAGGTCGTGGAAGAGAGAGAGATGGCTGCAAATTTTTTTTTAAAATTGAAGTTTTAATCTCCTTTATTTATATATTTTTTTATGGATTTTAATTTGAGTAATGCTACACTTGCCACATTATTATCCCACATTTCTATACCACATGATGTGACATATCCATATCATATGTCGCATCAATTAAATGAATGAAGTGTATTTTAATAAATAAAATTAGAAAAACAGAAACTAGTATTTTACATGACGTGGTATGTACACATCAGCTACCACATCATGTGGTATAAAATTGTGATATAAAAAATGTGGTAAAACTAGTATTATTCTTTTAATTTTTATGGTACCTTTTATTCAAAATCCACTTGACTTTATATAATTGGATGTGTGGACTCCATATATTTGTCATGTCAGCACTTTAACAGAAAAATTGACGGAAGCTAATGGTAGGGACCAATTTGATATATAGAGAGTAATATTAAGGACCATTAATGTCACACACAAAAATTAAGAACGAAAGGTGATAATTTCACTAACCTCAAGCACCATTTGCTATAAAAAGTCAAAGAACAAAACTTGCATTCGTTTGAATTTTTTTATTTACACAATCAAACATCCAAGTTCACTCCCACTACTTTTTTCAAAACCTTAAAATTCAACTATACCTTTCATTGTAAATTTTAAAAAATTTATTTCAGCAAAAACCTACCCCCAAATTCGACGGGCCACCTGTCCCATGGCTTCTCTCTCCTTTCTCCTTCCCCACCCACCATCCAATCTCTTCAATCTGGACGAGATCAACTGAAAAAAAAGAGAAAGAAAGGGGATAAATGTAAAATACGGAAGAAGAAATTTACATCTTTCCGTTGGAACAAAGATAAATAAAAGATCATATTTACATTCTGTAAATGCAAATGGGATATAAATATGATTTTTACATCCTAAATTTACAACATTGCACTGGAGTTGTTCTCAGCAAACTCACAAGATAAACAGACGGAAGCAGTTGAACAACTTATTCACCAACCCCTCAGAATTCATTTAAAATCCCTCGCTGTTGTAGTGCAGTGTGCTGTTGCTCTGTTTCTAACAATGTCGGCTACCTCGAGTTCCCTCATGTCTCTCGCTCCCGCTCAGTCTCTGAGTCAACCCAGAAGAGTAAAACTCGTTCAGTCTCCGACCTCTCTTTCAGTTTCTCTCCCAATTTCTCGTATGCTTTGCCTTAAATCAAATAACCAACGGAATCTCTTCGCATGTTGTTCCCTAAATGTACAAGACAGCGCCGGCCAAGACGCACCCATTGAAAAGAGTATTGTTTTTCTCAGACATCCTTGTATTCGATTTGCTTGCTTCCTTTGTTCTCACAAAACAAATGTTTGATTCTGAAAATGTTGATTTGGGACTTCACAGGATACCCAGCATTTCCTACAGTTATGGATATCAATCAGATACGTGAAATCTTGCCCCACCGGTTAGTGTTTAGCTCATTTACTTGTGGGTTTGTGATTGTTTTTTTCTTCTTAATTTTAATTTTAATTTTTCTGTTGTTGATGTGTTTAGTGATTACTTTTGGTTGTGGGATCGTGTTACAGGTTTCCATTTCTTTTAGTGGATAGAGTGATTGAGTACAATCCAGGGGTTTCAGCTGTTGCTATAAAGAATGTGACTATAAATGATAACTTTTTCCCTGGGCACTTCCCAGAGAGGCCTATTATGCCTGGAGTTCTCATGATTGAGGTACACTACTTATTCTCATACCGTCATAAGATTTTTTTGCATTTGGTAATAGACATTTGCAACCGTTCTTTGGGGAAAAAAAAAAAAAAAAAAAAAAAATAATGTCACAAGTTATAACAACTCCCACTTGGTGTTTGTCTCAAATTTGTAAATGTCTTTGCATTTCTAGCGGTTTTTCATTTGCCGGTTGTGGATATCTATGTTAATTTCTTGAATTGGATTTCATTGGTGTACGTGTGTGGTGTCTGAACTTGGGACATTGTAGTTAGCGGATGAGGACGTAGAATTATACAGGGAGAGTGAAATAGAGATGCGCACTTTTAAGGGCTCTGCGAATTTAGACTATTGATTGATATTGGAAGCTTAGCAAGGGTTTATGTAGGGCTTTCAATGCTTTAAAATACTAAGATGTAAGCTTTTTTAGAATCTAACATTCTCTCAGCATGGTTGTTTGTGAATTTGATGTAAGGAATGATGTTTTTTTGTCTAAGCTAGATTTTGCATCAACTAGCCATTGTCTTATAATTATAATATATTTGCGCTTAATATAAGCTCTGAAATTTACAATGCTGTATTGCCAATTGAAATTGTTTTTTAATTTAAAATGGTGCCAATCCAATAATGCAAACTTCAATGTTTTTCCAATGAGCAAATGTTTTATGTTCGTAAAAGGATTGATTTTGCATCAACTTAGATAAGAGATGAAACTTTCCTGAATGATTAATCGATGTGCTTTTGTGACTTCTGGCTGCATAAGGAAGAATTAATTTGAAGGAGTTAGCAGGGCAGAAGGGAGCAGGGACAAGTGTTTCTAGTTCAACCTGTAGGATACAAATCGGGACTGGTTTAAAAGAGAAGTTGACATTAATTCTCTTGCACAGGAGTGAATTTGCTAGTGCAAGTAGCTTTTTACCTTTAGAAAAAACACTGATCATTTAATGGTTCACTGTCCAGTGGCTTTAAATGGATGGAGAAAAGCTTTTTAGGGAGGAGGGGTTGAGTTTGGTTATCCCATGAGGTTGTTACGCTTTATTAAGTGAGAGGTTCAAGGGCTTTGGCGTGGGAAGAGGGCAGAAATTCTATGGGGCTGTAGTATGTTGGCAGTTACCTGGGTAATTTTGATAGGAAGACATAGAACGATTTCTGAATTGTGCAACGATTTGGGTCTGGAAGAATTGTGGGAAAGAGTTAGATTTTGGTAATTTCTATGGGCATCTGTTTCATCTGAGTTTAGAGGTATAATACTCTTAGAGATAGGTTGGCAGCTGTAAGTCTGCAAGCCGAGAAAGTAGTGTTGTTTAGTATTTAGCTGTTTTGTTCGTATTCTGCTGTGGACTACTTGTCCACCTTCAGTCTGTATTTGTATTTTTTTTACGGAGTATTTATTCTTAAAAAATGATAATGCAAGAGTTCTCATATACCAAACAATGTTTTAAAGTATATTATATTACATATATATTGTACATGAATAATAAACCAAGTTCAACAAATATATAAAGTTCCTGGTAGGTTGGGTTGGGGGAATATGGGTAATATGCTGAGAAAGGATTGAACAATCAAAGAAAAAAAAACAAAACAAAGTAGATTAAAGAAAAGAAGAAGAGAAAGAGAGAGCCACCAGCTCTTAAGGTAGAATGCAGCTCAATGAAAATGTATCAAGAGGTCATTCATTGTGTCTAGTTATCTGTAAACCTATCCATAGATTCACTTGCCTTATTTTGTGAAGTCCATAAATTGGTCATCGTTGTATGGTTGCATGCGTGGGTGGGTATATGCATTCAAAACTCTTTCGGAGGACAACTAAATAAAGTGCAAATTGAGTTGTCTGCAGAAGAAGATTCATGTTATTGAACTCGAGTTGTGTGGATGTTCAGCCATGCTAAGTTGGTTTAATTTTTCTTTTAGTGGAAGTTAAAGGGGTGGTCTTTTTTAAATCCAATGCAGAGGATTAATTGGAATTCTGTGAATTTTGACTCATGATTGATTCATTTTCCCCTTCCCTGTTCTTGTTTAATGAATGTAATGGATGGTCTTGAGCATATGAGCATGATGCTTATCATAAATGAGCAAGCATGTTTGAGAGAAAAAAATTCCATTTAAACTAGTGCTTTGTCATTGGGCCTTGGCTCATGTGGCAGAGGTTTGGGTTGGTCTTAAATCTAAAGTTTTTCATGCTCATATTTTAGCGTCCAGAAAAGTTACGAAATGATTTTTTGTGTGAAATTATTAGTAATAGTTGTCGGGTTAGAGGGCAATTCGTGATTGCTATAGACATTTCTGAAAGAAATTCAGAGTCTGTTTTCAAGGTAAAATAAATGTTGTGTTTATGGAATCATGGAGATTCTCCAGATATTTTGTCATGATGAAGCATTTGTGCCTTTGCTAGAGTGACTGAGCTAGTCTCCTCGATTTTGTTTCAAGAAATATTTTAGACCATTTGACTGATATAAAGGGCTGTTTGCAAGACCCATTGGCTCAATAGTATAGACCAAATTAGAAATTCAGCTTCTCAAACCTCGTAGTTTTATTTCACTACTACAGTCTACATGTAACAATTTTCCGAAGAAAAAGCCCTTCAAACTTCACAGACAATTTCTGCTCTGTGAAACTTTTCCATTGGAAAAGATGCGCTTGGATTCGTGAATAGATGGACTAGCAAATGGAATTTTAGTTTTGCTCCTTTAGGAAGGCAATGGGTCCAACCTCCCCATAATTTGATTGGCAATGGCCTATTTGCTGCATTCTATTCTGGGTAACATGGGATGGGACTAGGGCAGTGGGGTTTTGTGTTGTGTAGGATACATTTGACTTGAATCCCCTTTCCTATGATGAGGAGAAGATAAAGGCAAACTGGAACAGTATCACCAATATTTATGTTATCTATTTCCTATGGCATTGGTTATTTTGTATAGGACCTTTCTGTCTAGTCTGTCTGTTCCAAAACAATTGTGGAACAGTATCACCAATAAGTTATCTACTCCTGTGGCATTGGTCATTTCAAGCAGTTTTAAACTTCAAATGGTGCATGCTGATCAAATCAATCAACCTTCGGTGTTTAACTGAGTTTGATACATGTTCCTTTCTGTAGTTTGGCAAAATGTCTTCTGAACATCCAGCCATTATGATTTCCTTTTAAGGTTTTAACGTAATTTTCTCAAGATAATAATAGTAGTATTGCCATAATTCTTTTCCCTTTGTTATTTTGTTTTTGTTTTCCGGGTTAAGCCACCTCCTTTTGTTTTCTAAAAGATGCAATTTGCACTTCAGCTCCAAACTTCCAGTAAAATTATGATAATCCATAGAGAAAGCGAGAAAGATACAAAATATAGTAATAAAAAGAAATAGGCATGCACAGTGCAATGGATAGAAGTTTTGTGTTTCGGTGTTATGGATTAGTTCCATTAGATGGTGTCTGGGTAACCTGTAATGCAGCCTATACACAATGAACATAAAACAATAGTAAGTTAGTAACTACAGTGCTGAAATTCACAATGATAACTACGTTGCTGAATCAGGAAAATTGAAATTAATTGAAGAACCACTCTGATTCCAGCTGATTCAAGACACATTTTCAAGTGATCGTTTGGCTGTTGAAAACAGAAGAATCTTCTTCTTTTTGAAATGTTACTGAATTTCAATTCAGTTCAGGTCTCCGTGATTGGTGTATCATGTTGACGGTTTCATTTCATCCATTTTCTAGAGCTGATATTTCTTTATACAATGTTCAAAGTTGATTAAATTTTCTTCGGTGAATTGGTTAATGTTTTGAATTTTCTACGTTAATTAACAATCCTCTTTTAGTGTCCTGCACTCCTCCTGTGAGTGCAACAAAATTGTAAAATATTTATTTTGGAGTGCAGATGGCTAAAAGAGGAGTGCACAAATTGCTACCCATTTTTTAACCTCTTCAATCTCTTTGTTTCTTTCCTTATCAATTCTCTTTGTTTCTTTCCTTATCAATTCTCTTTCTTATGTGGGGCAAAGACAGAATAGAAGAGATTTTTCAAAACCTCAAGGCAAATAATCATCTATGCCCTCTTTTGCCTCAAATTTATATTCATTGTGGTGCATGCACTTTGCTAAGTGCTGACAAAAGTGGTTTCTGGGCTCAGGCAATGGCTCAAGTGGGTGGCTTGGTGATGCTGCAACCCGAAGTGGGAGGCTCTCGTGACAGTTTCTTCTTTGCAGGAATTGATAAAGTGAGGTTTAGAAAGCCTGTGATTGCAGGAGACACTTTGGTAATGAGAATGACACTAGTTAAGTTCCAAAAACGGTTTGGAATAGCAAAGATGGAGGGTAAGGCATACGTCGGATGTGACTTGGTCTGCGAAGGCGAGTTCTTGATGGCGAGTGGGAGTGTTTGATGTGCTGAGTATGTCTAAAGATCCATTAATATGCAATTTTTTCTCCTATTTCTCCTTTTGTTTCTTATGTATTCTATCTTTCTTTTTTATTTGTTAAAAGCCCTTTACTACCTTGATGTTGAGGATTTGCTTGTCAGTTTGGACTTTCTGCGTCGATAAAGATATTATGCTTGATAGTTTTGCTGAACCCATCTGATCTTGGACTTCCTTGGACATCTTGCTTTTTAGAAACCCCTTTTTCTGTTCCTTTCCTCTAAGAAAATAAGCAGGTGTTAATCAAAAGGCAGAATCACAAGGGGAAGGTCTAAACCTATCCCTGAATTAAGTGCATTTCAACATGCTCTTGCAACAGTAAAACTTAACTTTAATTCTAACAAGTTGGGCTTCTTTCTTACTGTTTGCTTAGATTTCCAGGACATTTTGAATTAAGGATGGTACGATTGGAGTCTAAGTATACAAAGAGAATACCGATTCTAAGTAGAAGCTTAAGGAGAAGAAATCTAGGAAGTGATAAAAAGAGTTCTTAGCTTTGATTTCCTAAAAAATCAATTGTGCAAGTTGAGATAGGAAGTCAATATTGTACACTTCTGACAATGAATGCCTTAAAGCTTCAGTGCGTTGTGCGACCCTCCTACCTCTAAAGCTCCCATCAGACAGCTTTTCAAAACAACTTTTTCCAAAAGTTGCATGCTTGAGTCTACTGCAACAACTTTCCATTACAAGTAACAACTTTTTTTAATACCAAAAATTAATTCCCATTACAAATCTACTGCAAACCTTTTATTAACATTTATCAATCTCACAAGCCCATTTAAGATTCAATATCACTAAGACATCACCACTTTCCATTTTCTCTAAGATCGAGAAGCTGCCATCTAGGCTCATTCATCTGAATTTACCCTAATTAGAGTACTGGGTTTTAGGGTTTTAGGGTTTTCTGGTTGAGTATGCAGATATAGTTTCTTTGTCTGGGAGCTCCAATTGATGCAAGGGGACCCCTTTTCAAGCTCCCAATGATGTGGTTGATGAGTGCAGGTGCCTTTATCCTCCACATAATATCAAAGTGGACTCATTGGTATTAGGGTTTGTGTGTCCTTTATGCAGTCATCATAACTTAGCCCTCCATTTCCATCTCTTTTTCTAAGTTGTTAGGAAACATCAATTATTACTTGTGAATATAATGGAATATCTTGTTCCACAACCACGTTTTGAGCTTTTGTGGATTTGTGGGCACACCTAAGCATGGGGGTTTTGGGGCTCACAGTTCTCTCTCTCTCTCTCAGGTGTTGAGAACTATTTTCTCATTCTGTGAAGACATGATGTGTTTTGGTAATTCACTGTAAATGCTTTTGGAAAGCATGCCCTTTCTTTTTTTTCTTCTTCTCTTTTGAAGATTCTCTTGAAAAGCGACTGATAAACACAATCAAAACCGTAAGCACCATCAAAGACAATTGCCTAACTACACCAAAAAAAAAAGAAAAAAAAAAGTAGTTTTCTCCATCAAAGTCCACCCTTTCCCCATAGATTGAGCCTCAAACTTTCCTTTTAAAAAGCAAGATATTACTTTAATACAAAGATTAAAAACAGTAATTGATGTTCTTATAGCAAAACCAGAGAACGCTTGGCCCAAACAAAAATGGCACTGAGCTAAAGTTCCTTCTAGATTTAAATGGCACCACAAATTTTGCCCAGATGATTTTCTTCCCAAGAGTACGGCCACCTTGTATAGCGTGTACACGTATTATAATACATATGGACGACATAGTTAATAAAATAATATTAATAAATATTTACTTATATTATAACTCATAACTGTACTAAATACTATTGTACTACACTATAATTACTCTAAGAAGAGAGGGTAACTCAAGAGAAACGTGGGCCAACAGAAATTGGATTAATATAGACATCCAGATTAGTAATGAGAATTGACGATGATGGTATAAAATTAAATCACGCAAAAATAATGAATAAAAAAAGGTGGAAAGGGATTATCACTTGTATATTAAACTATAATAAAATATGTTAGAAGGTTCATCTGACAATACAACACACTTTTCCATCAAGGACAATTTTGTTCACCATTTTCAACTATAGTGTGGAATTAAAGTTTCCACACAATGAGTAAATACTAATCATGGTTAGATATTGTTTTTTTTTAAATAAACACAAAACTATGGTTCCCTAGGCAGCCAATGTGCACCAAAATAAAAAGTCAGGCCGTCATAGGGCTTGATATGGGTTTAATCGGCTTGATATAAAATTGGGTGTAATCGGCTTGATATAGCTCGAATTTGGATTGAGTTTGGGCTTGTATAGATAATAGGCCTGTAAATCATTGAGATCCTATACCCTAGATTCATAAAAATGAACTTATCGTTTATAATAACACCACGTGACTATATTACTTTTATACTCAAATGATAACACCACGTAACAGTGTTACCTTTATAGTCAAATAATTTCCTACGAATGGGCTTGCATATACGTACACACCAACACACGCTAATCCACTAATCAATTATCTGAACAAAGATTAGTGTACAACGATGTATGATTTTTATTGCACACTGTTTAAGGCTCTACTAATCCTTTAAAGCAATGATCGTAGTTGCCCAATTTTCAATTCTCCAAAGGATCATCCTTATAAAAAAAAATTAAATCTTAACCAAAATTGTGATCATAAATGAACATACATATATAGCGCTTGTAATAGACATTGAAATATCATCATGATAATCACATAGTTAAGTGGTTATCCATTTGACTAATTTTTGCAAAAATCATCTTTGAATGAATAGATAAACAATTACCCAATTCAAATCATTTAACTATAATATATAGGGAGCATTTTTGCTCACCGCCCTTCTCAATACTTGATTGATATGTGTCCGTAAGTATAACTATAGTTACATAAATCAAAATAAAAAGTTAACCATTATTATGCCTATAGACACGTGTGAAGTATTGAGAAAGGTGGTGAGCATATATCTTGGGTTAAAGTGGTGAGCAAAAATATCTCCAATATATGGTGGGTCTCATTTTCTAGATCTCTTTGTGTCTTTTGAGGAGAACCATCCATGCGAAAATATCATCAAAGTCATAAATCATCTAACCATTTTATTATCATTACAAATTTTTCATTATTTATTGAAAATAATTTGTTCATGGTTAGATGATCAAATGATAGTGGACTTGGTTGATTTCTTATCAATTGATCTTGAAATAGAGACCTAACCAATAGAGGGTTTGGATGGATTCATTTTCACTGTCTTGAATACAAATATTTTAATTATTAACGATATTATTCTGTGTTTGATCGACGGGAAGGGATTTAAACTTGTGATCTTTTCAACATTTAAAAAGAAAAATTATATTTAAATTAAGAGTTAGATTATAGGAATTCGTATTATTAAGGAGCAATGTTATTGAAAACAAACATAGAAGTTCCTTAACAAATATATATATATATATATATATATAAAATGCCAGAAATTGATGAAAGGGAAAGAAAATTGAAGGTGGTTGGCCCACTGATGTACATTGTCCACCCACCAGTGTACATTTTACTTTGTCTAGGTTCAGCTCGCAATCGATGATGTCTGTCTAGTTCAGTGTTCTTACGCACTCCATCTTCTAATAATGCAACGACAACCCTAAAAAAAGATGAAAGAAATTATTATTCCAACTGTCGAAAGAGAAGAACGTATGCTCTTTTATTTTATTTTATTTTATTTTATTTATAAGGATGTCATCAAATCCACTAAGGTATAGCAGAACGCACAGCATTAGAAATTACGAGAACTTACAGGAAAAAACAGAAAAATGGTCTCATCTCTTGTTGCTTTTGTCATCAAAATACAAATATCTCAAATCAAGTCGTGAGAAAAAGAATGATCTGGAAAAACTTCGAGGTCATTTCAAGAAGTAGAGGTTGAAGTAAAAAAAATTAGAAGCGATTATGAGCAGGTAGTCTTTTTTTATAAATTAAATTAAATGTAACACGTGGCAGCATTGGGACCGTCCACCTGACCATCGGCGGACCCACATAAGGTCGAAATGGGCCAGGCCCCTTCTTTTTTTTTCTTTTTGACATTTTTTGTTTTCTAGAATACAATCCTATTACTAGGGAGAATAGTCAAGACACGTATACAATTGATGTGTTGAATAATTGAGAAATCTTACCTCGTTCTTATTCTTTTCCCCCTCCCCTCCTATTATAATATCACCACAGTTTTCTACAGTATGATATTTTCTTCCAAATAGTCTCTAAGGTGTCTCTTCTAACATAAATTCATGGCTGTACAACTGCACCTGACATTAACGGGACGCATCACACAATCGATATGCCATGTCACATTGTTGTCAACCGAAGATAAATTTGAAATTGAGAAAGACAAATACCATTATATACCAAGAGGAAGCAATTAACGAACCGCATCAGTTGGTAATAAAGTGTGTGCTTGTCACTACTGCTTATCGGATTGTCCTAATTTCCTAAACAGTATAAGCTGGAAAACCAAACATTGAACAGTAATGATGGATCTTATTTTTCCATGCCCCATCAAGCTGTGATTAAAATCCGAGATGCCGACGTTGGATCTGTGATTGTTGCAGGGTTATAAAACACACCTGCTAGTACAAAAAATATACCTGAAATACTTATTGAAGGAAAGAAAGACGTACACGTACTACCAATTAGGTTTCATTTCATGCTATCTGAGACTGATTTAATTACAAATTGAAGGAAGACCTGACATGTAAGATACCCAAAGAGAATCAATCAATAAATTATTAAATCCTAAATTAAGAAAAGTACAGAGAGAAAAAGCAAAGCTAAAGTAGGAGACAAAAAACAGGAGAGAGAAAGAGAGAGAGAGAGCATTAAGTTATGCTAACGTGGAGTTTTGTTGTACTCAATGGTCTCGATCAACGGCCCAGATTCAATCTCAGCCTTCCCCCATCTCATTTATCTTCCTTCCCCACCTTCCATTCTCACTCCCCCAATCTCATTCTCTCTTCTCTTTCTCTCTCTCTCTGAAAACTGCAGAACCCATCAGAACTAGTTTAGAACAAATTAAAAAAAAGATGTTGTTAGGGAAGCGTCCCCGCCCTCCGATGAGGAGGACAACAAGCATGACTGGGATCACCGTTGATCTGAACAACGTGGAAGGCGAGGAACCGACGGATGTGCATGCAGCAGCAGCAGCAGCAGAGATGGTGGTGGGCCCACAACCAGGGCCTGCTGCTGCTGTTAATAATAATAATAATAATATTGAGAGCATGGACATGAAGAACAACTTTGGGTACCATGAACAGCACCGTTTCCTGGCCATGTTGTCTCCCAGAAACAACCACCGAACAAACTCGGCTGCTCAGGACGTCGTTGAGACCGCTCACTTTCTCCGCACGTGCGGCCTCTGCAAACGCCACTTGGCTTCAGGCCGTGACATCTACATGTATAGGTAATTAATTAATTTACCCCTTGTTGGAATTATCTATGCTTTTATCTTATTATTTCCCTTGCTGTTTTTCTTTTGTTTAATTTTTGGATTTTTTTTCTTCCTTTTTATTTTCGGATTTCAAAGGTGTACTGTTAGATTTGGATGTACATGCAGGCAGCTGATACCAAATTCATCTAGATACCACTACTAAATTAATCATATGTATAAAGTTTGATATGTTGTTAGTAATTTTGTGACAACTCCTGCTGAAATATCTTAGATATAAGACAGGAGGTGCGGAAAAATGAGATAAGATTATGATAGATTAAGAGTTCAATCATTCATAATGTAAGCAAAAAATAAGTTTAGAATTAATGATGTCTTTATTTTATTTATTTTCTAGTAACTGAATTATTTGTACAGGGGAGACACCGCATTTTGTAGCCTAGAATGCAGAGAGCAACAGATGAAGCAAGATGAGAGAGTAGAGAAGTGTAAGGCCGCGTCCTCAAAGAAGGACGACCGCCACGCCTCGCGATCCACCTCGACCAACTCCAAGGCTTCCGGTAAGAGCCAGACGGTGGCTGCCGCCTAATTAAACAACAAATGATGAAGCCAGAATGTTGGAAGATTATCAAACGTCAGTTACACAATATTGCACTGCTGCAGGTGCAACCCCCTTTTTCCTCAATTGCCCCCATTGACGTTATTTACATAATAGTACAACGGGGTGTGTTGCTAGCTACGATCGCTAGCTGATGAATGTATGATTATGTAAAGTTAATTGTAAAAAGGTCGGTGGAGTGCATTTGTTTTATGGATTCAAATGGACATTATTGGCCAAAGTTTTCTTATATATATATATATATATATATATATATAAGTGGTTCTAACCTTCGAACCTTAGCTTCTTAGATTATATTTTGCTTTATAAGACCAAAATGAAGCGTAGATGCCAAATATTATCATAAGCGCTTTTAATTGTCGGAAATTTCTTTTTATAAGCACTCTCAAGCATATTCTAGAGTTTCAATCAGTAGCTGAGCACTCGGAGCACTGTCTTTTAGATTGTTGCTTGGAAGATTTAGTTTCCATGAACTTGGATTTTACATCTGGTAGAAATTATTTGTCGGTTGTTTCATTCATCGGTGTTTCTCTGTAATGAATTCCCTTTTCTAAATTCAATTCTTTGTGACCACATCATAATTCTAAACTTCTAAATCCCAAACCCTCCTCTGTCCCACCTCAATTATTACCTAAATGCTGCCTAGCGCAGAACTTTTTGTCTTCCAGCCCAGAAAGTGCCGTTCATGAAAATGAAATTTCAATGGTCCTCTATATTTTTAGACCTTTCTAGGCTTCTGCATTCACATTCATCCACACACTTATATACTATACATACATACATATATACATATGTATAATAATTCTCTAAAATGGACCGTAAAAAATTGTGACATTCACGGATGTCTTTTTCTGAATCTATTGTCCACTAATCAGAATCGTTCATTTCTTTGCATAAATAAAAATAAATCAAATCAAATAAAAAGAACTTTAATCATTTTATTATTAACGTCGTCGTCTTGTGTATATTTAGTTTTCGGATGGCCAAGAAAAGGTTGTCCATACTTGAAATTTCCAAAATTTACAAATTTCTACACTTGACTACACCACGTATATACATTGAATTTGAAAATATGTATTTGGTATCAAGTATGCCAAAACCAAAAAGGAAAAAGTCCTCTAGGGTTGGCACTACTTTTTCTTTGGATTGTGCCAGAGGCCTCAATCCATATTAACCTATTGGTATTTGGTACTTGCGAAATCTAGCGACAGGTCTTGTATTTTCCCCAAAAACCAAAACAAAAACAAACAGACTACGAGTGGCGGTCATCTTGGTGTTTTACAAAGTCTCACTTTCATAATTTTATTCTTTCGTTTTCTTTTTAAACCTTAAAAAATAAAAATAAAATATTAGCATTACATTATAATTTCGTGAATAAGAAAGAATTGGGGGAATCTGTGGCAGCGTCAGCTTAGAATGGACGTCTCCTAAATAAAATTGAAAGAGATTCATTTGGAGTTTTGTGTTGATTGACATGGGTTGGTATGTTGCTGTGGGACCCTCGACATTTCACATAAAGCTCCCATCCTTTTTGTCACACTGGGACCGCCCACTTGGAACTCAATGCTGATCTACCTCAGCCTCGATTATAATTTATAACTGGTAATTTCTAAAGTTATGATTGGATGTGGTTAAGGTGGTGAATCTTGATATTTTATTAGGAAATTCATTTGGGAGAATCATATGCATATTCCTAGTAAATCTAACCTAATGAAGAGGATTTAACCTGGGGTTTAATCTAATCAGGGTTCATGTATACATTTTTATACACAACATGTGTAAATTAATATGATTTGAATGGGTTTCAGGTTGGATATTTTAGCATGTGTGGTGCAAATGAAATATTTCTTTATTTCTTCTTCTTTTAATAGGTTTGTGGTTAATTGTCTAAATTGAATCTAATTTTATAATTACAACGATTTTTACATGTTGGATTGGATCTCTAAATTCAAAAAGTAAAATAATTGGATTTATGGACTTCTTCGTGAAAATCCAATCTAATTTAAAGTAACAATCTCCGATCAAAATAATCATAATTTGACCAAATAAGAAACTATTCTTTTTCCCCAAAAGTCTCAAAAACTTTCTTGTTAGGGTTTTTAGCTTATTCTAATCTTAACCCTGGAAAATTTCTCAAACTTTGATGACTCTTGTACAATGAAAAAGCACTTATTGCACCCAGAAAAGGGGAAAGAAAAAAAAGGCAAATACTTTACCAACCAAATCATGTGGAACCAACTCTTTTTCTCTCTTCTTCGTCTCTCTTTCTGTGCAACCCCTCTTTGATTCAAGGGGTTCCCCTTAGAACTAACCTCTTCGGCTATTAAATCAGGCATCTCTCTCTCCCGTCATGTTGTAGAGAACGTTTCCTCAATTTTATGCTGGGTTTTGTTTTTTCCTAGTTTTGTATTGAATTTTGTTTCTTTCCAGTATTTTTGGACTGACTTTTAAGGTTCCTTTGTGTTGTGGAGGTGGAGTTGTTAGATTTGGGTAGATCTTTCATTACTAGGTGTTGTGGGATCATGTGGGATGTTGGAGGTATTGTAGCTTTCTCTGGTCGGGTGGATGTCAGCGGTTAGGCCTTTTCACTTTTGGTGCTTATGATTCCCTGTTAATGCAGAATATTTAAGGTGTGTTCTTATTGTAAATCTCCTGGATTTGCCCATATATTAATGAAATTCTGCTTGTTCTTAAAAAAATATTATAAAGAGAACTTGTATTGAAGAAAAATAGCAGAGTGCCCATACTTTTCCTTCGAATTTGACTATAAGACAAGAAGAAATCTTAACTATATATTGATATCACAATGGAAGACAACATAATGTAGGACTAATAATACTCAATTATAGGGTCTACTGCTCCATCTTTGAGAACCTACAAAGTGCTTTCATCATCACCATTATTCTTTTATAAATCCTTTTACATCACCATTATTTTAAAACAAATCTTGCACCCAAAAACAAAGGAGAGTACATCATAGACTCCTTTCAAAATCAATTTATTATGCCCCTCCATGGACTCATTCAATTTCTCTGGAACTGCCAACTGTCCAGTACTTAATCAACTGCAGAACAATGATTTTTTTAGTGTCTCAATTCTCTCTTATATGTGATTGTAGACTCTAGGGAAGTACAAACAATTTAGGCCCATTTTCTTTCGGCTTGTTTTAAAATACAAATCAAATCTTCAACATCAGAGCTCGGAAGATATGCTGTGATTTTTGTATAGGAGTCAATAGCCCTCCAATCAGCTCATGCTTGCCCTAATAATGCAAGTTATAAAATGCTTATTCAACTTCAAAGCGTAGATTTTAAGTATATAATGTGTAGTAAATGAGTATTTTTTAAAAAGATTAGGCCAATGGGAATTGGATGGAGGTCATTGTTTTCGTTGTTTTCAAGACTAAATATAATAAGCCAGTGTTGGGGGTTTAGGTGTCAACCGATTCCCATGCTTCCTGCCGAGGATTGGAAAGCCTTTCAACTAGTGAATTTTTAAACTTCGTTTGCTTCTTCTTCTTTTCTTGTTTTTTAACATCACGCCGTCTTGGATTTTATGAGTAACTTTGTTTGTAAGATCCTCTTGTTTGTATATTATATATAGACGCACCAAAATCAATTTTATTTTTGTAGACAACTAGTTCAAGTGGGTACTAGTGACATCCTAAAGATTGTGACACCTATTTATGCAAATATCTCGAGGAAGAATATTCGCTTGAAGATTCTTCGACTTTAGAACTTCCTTCTCTCTCTTCCCCGATTCCTGTAAAATCAAACAAGAGTAAAAGATCACACCCAGGTGTTGGCCAAAAGCCCTCTGATGCCTAAGTTAGTTCGATTGAATCTTTGAGAAACAATACCTAAAAAAAGTATGGAGTTTTCTCTATAGAGAGAATCGGGTGGCCGGAGTCGTGACAAAAAAATATGGAGAGTGGGGAGACGGCAAGAGAGAGACAGAGAGAAAGAGAGAGAGTTGAGTTTCAGATTACCTTGTGTGTTGAATGTAGCCATGTATTTATAAGGCTCTAGGCATCTAGAGTTTTTCAAAGAATATCTTCTTATTTGGAAGGAAGATATTCTTTCCCCAAATTGTAGAGATTGAATCAATTAGGGATTTGATTGGGATCAAATCACTAATTGATGATGATATCTCCAAATTATGATAATATCCTAAATTGATAATATCATCTTTTAAATAAAGATAATTTCTCATATTTAAGATAATATCTTTATTTTTAGTATCAATTAATTTGCCAAATAAATAGGCTCAATTAATTGACCTACGAGATATTCTTCTTGTCCACGTGGTGCCTTGTGATTGGAAGCCGAAATATTTGTTCCCACAAATGCCCCTCCAACTTCTGCATGGCGCTTGTGATGCATGTAGGAGACGAAAAATATTCTTCGAGTCTTCCAATTGCCTATGGGCTTTCTTCTTTGAGTTAGGACTCCTTTTACAAATTGGGCTCCCAATTGGAGTAGACTTTTGACTTTTCTTGGAGTTGGGCTCCCAATGGGAATAGGCTTGTGATTCCTCCTTGACCTAGGATGCCCAACCTTTATAAATACAAGGTCTCTCTTCATTCTTCTTCAAATTCCAAACTTGCTTTATATACTTTCTAGCTTGAGAGAGATCTTGGAGAATTTGTACTGTTTGTTGAAAAGAGGAGTCACGCGTGTACCGCTTGGTAAGTCCAAATTTTTTTTTCTTTTTTTTTCTTCTTTTCTTTCGCTTGCGGTGAGGAACAGTTGGCCTTGGCTGCTGGTTGTCGTCATGATGACTTGGGGAGACTGCTGGTGTGACACCAGTAGCGGCGGTGTAGGTTGGCAAGGATGGCGATGCTTGTCGACAGCAGCTAGTGTTGCTCCTTTATTTTTCCTAACAACTTGGGCCTGGCCCAATTAGGTCGATGCTAAACGGGCCTGTCGTGGTGCAACTTGAGCTGTGGATGCAACTTGGGTTGCGAGTTTATGGCTTGGGCCTATAAGCTGTCCAATTTTTTTTTGTTGACCTGACATGTATTTTGACTTGCAAAAATATCTTTTCATCTTGCAGTTGTCCAGCCATCATGTCTTCTGAGGAAGATAGCCAATAACCAAGCTCACAAGTGCCTTTCTACTTGTGAGGAGGCTCCAAAGTGCACAAGAAGATATTTGTGGCTAATCAACATCGTGTCACATCTGAAGCTCAATTTCAGAAGTGGCGTGCCGCCCATGCTTCTGCCATACTTGATGACGTGCATATCAAGCTGGCAGAGTCTTCAACTGATGATGCCTCTTATGTGGATGCAAATGATTCAAATGCTAGGATTATCACATTTCGTCCATTCTATTTCTCCTTGCGCTTCACGTTCCCGTTGTTAAAGTTCTTCAAGGAGGTGTTCTGCGTCATGGATTGTGCTCCAAGTCAGTGTACTTCGAATGTCTGCAGGGCTATCATGTGCTTTGAGAACCTGAGTCGCTTTTTCAAGTTAGATCTGATGGTGCGAGAGTTATTCTACTTCTTCGAAGTGAGACACTACGAGAAGTATGCTCAAGTCCGCGTATGCAATGCCAAGTTGTTTGACAACTTCAGCCAAAAAGATCACGTATGGCACGTCAATGTGCTGGAAGTCAGTGGACGGTGGGAAAGGGAGTTGGCGATGGTCTACTTGTTCCTATGAACTACTGTGATGGTACATCATATTGCTATTTGATATGCTTCCTTTTTATTTGAATTTCTTGAAATGTGACTGACTAACTTCTGTCTTCTGCTTACAGAGAATGATATTTGCAAAAGAATGAACCTTGGGCCGGATAAGGTCGGCCATGCTCTCAACATCCTTGCAAGGTTCTGCGAATGGCGTTGGCTATTGAGCGAGTATTGAGAGAAAGTTGGTGGTCTGGTCCCTGCCAAGGATGTCGAGAGATGGAAGCAGAATAGTCCAAACTTTGATGATCTGCCTCCTAAACAGGAAGAGTGTTCTGTCGAACTCTCCTCAAAGAGGAAGGCTAACGTCAAGTCCCTAAGAGATAAAGCTGCGACTTCACAGGTGAGGGATGTGTCTCTGCTAAGAAAGAAGCCAAGACCCCATTATGTTGTGACTAAGTCTTCCTCAAAAAAGGTCTCATCTGCTGAGAAGACTCAAGTATTAACTACTCCCTCGTCATCTGCTAAGGTTAAGTATCTTGTGGCGCATATAGCAAGAAGGTTAGTGGTATGTGAAATGTTCGGGACATTTCGCTCAAGTCTCTACTGACAAGTTCAGAAACTGTGATCTGCCCGGTAAAGAGATTCGCTCCCAAACCAATTCACATGCCGAGAGGCAAAGAGATGCTAATATTCCTCTTCAAAGTTTAAGTCGCCTGCACCAGTCTAGGAATGAGGACCGTACTGGGAGGATTACTCATCCGCCTAACCATCGTGATCCAACTGTTGAGCCACAAGCAGTCAAGCATGAAGCTGATTCGGCATCGTTGACTTCTTCAGAGGCGAGGATGGCGAATACTAAGAATGCAAGAGAGTCATCTACTCGTGTGAATGGTTCTTCAGAAATGCTAATGACTGATCCCAACATTGACAAGTCCAACCCTGGACAGGATGCATGTGTGTCTAATCTATTCAAGATGAACTTCCTATCAAACCCATCTGCTTGTGTGAAGTTGGTTGATCATATCCATTAGGCTAGTGACCTTGGCACATTCTCAAGTGATGCACCACGGAAGCACGGGTTTACGAATCAACAAACGTCTAAACCCGAAAAGATAAACTGAAATCCATCAATGACTGGAATCCACCATAAAATAGAGCAAATCTCTAAATTTGATTAATAATATGATACAACTGATTAATATAATGCCATGAGTTGGGTTAAATAGAAAACAAAGAAACCCTAAAATCGTAGGAAACTTTAGGTTCCAATTGATGCTCAAGCATGATTTTCCATATTTGAAGCCCAATTTTCTGATTTTGAAAATTTTCCCTTTCTCAAATTTCCTTCGTAGGGACAAACCCATGATTTTTCTACATCATCAAGTCATTCCTTGGAGAAGCAAAAGGAAATAGCCTTTCATTTACTTCAAAAAGGAGTAGTTTTTGCAATTTAGGCTATTGGCCTTTCTTCTGCTCAGCTTAGCGAGTTAGAGAAGAAGAATGTTGATTTAACTAGCAAGCTCTCGGCCATCTGTTATGAAAAGAAGATGTTTGAACTGAGGAATAATATATATGAGCTAAAGAGTTCCCTTGCTAAGAAGGATAGTGAACTTAACTCTTCTGCTGCCACTATGCATAGTTAAAAAAAAAAGGCTTACTTTCTCCTTGAGACACTTCATATTTTTATCCCTGCGTTTGACACCTACCTTGAGGCTGTTGAGCAATCTAAGTTTGAGGTTGTCGTCAATACATACAAGCTGAGATACTTGGACTACACAAGTGGTGCCACTCATTGCAATTCCATTACAAATGAAGATCTCAAGGTGCTCTGCCCTGACTTGCTTCCTTCTCGACGTGAGCAGATTAACGTTGTGGATGTGAAAGGAGCTAAAGAGCAGGCGGCTAACAAGACTGTAGCCTAGAATAACGGCGCCAAGGAAGGTGTGGATGAAGAGATGGTGACAGATGTTGTGGAGCAGACAGTTGGAGCTGCTGAAGGTGTAGCTGATCAGATGGATGCCGAAGAGGTTGTTGACCAGGGGTCTCTTGCCATAATCTTGGAGTAGATGAAGACTCCTTTATCTTTTCAAGTTTTTTGGAATCTGCTTTCTTGTTTGCAATAATTAGTCTTGTTTGACCATCTTCTTTTTGTTGAACTTGGCTGGTTGATCATTTTGCTATGAAAATTTTAGTTATTTCTTTAACTTCAATTTGCATTGTATCTTGCAAACTGCTTGAGCAACTTGTCGATGCCTTGATTTTACATCTCTCTTAGGATGCTTAAATGTTTACCCACCACTTACTTAAAGAATGCTCTTATGCTTTTTCTTTAAGACTCTTCATAGTTTTATCCCTACGTCTCCTTGAGGATGCGGCTTATGAGCAATGATCTGCTTTACATGCGTCTCCCTTAGGACACTTCATAGTTTTCACCCAATGTCTCATTAAGGACGCAGCTTATAGCGATGGTCTGTTTGACCTGTGTCTCCTTGAGGACGCTTCATAGTTTTCGCCATGCGTGTCCCTGAGGACACGGCTTATGGGCAATGATATGCATTACCTGCGTCTCCTTGAGGACGCTTCATAGATAACTGCACACTTCTTTTGAATGAAAAACTAAACTTGTATTGATGCTTGCATGATTACATTGCTTTATTTGAAATTGAAATAACTAGATAAATAACCTGAAATTTCCAGTAGTTGTTTTTCCTCTTCAAAAGTGGGCATGCTTAGTTGTTTGCTAAGAACTTGAGCCTATAGGAAGAAGCTTCAAGGGTAATATCTTTAGAGGTGGTAGACATTCCATTGTCTTGGAATCTCCTTCCCTTCTAGGCTATCAAGTATATAGCTTCCTCTGCCCTCGGACTGGCAGATCACATAATGGCCTTCACAATTGGGTTTCATCTACTTTAATCCTTGTCTTTGCGCAGTAATGAAAGTCTTTCTAAGTACAAGGTCGCCAAGTTGAAACTGTATGACCTTGGCCCTTTGATGCCTAAGAGTAAAAGATAATATCAAGCAAGAGTAAAAGACCACACCTGGGGTAGTTGGCCAAAGGCCCTTCGATGCCTAAGTTAGTTCGATTGAATATCTGAAAAACAATAGCTAAAAAAGGGTATGGAGTTTTCTCTACAGGAGAACCAGGTAGCCAAAGCCGTGTATGGTGGCCGAAGTTGCGATAGGAAAATATGGAGAGAGGAGAGACGACAAGAGAGAGAGAGAGAGAGAGAGAGAGAGAGTAGGGTTTTCGAGTTGAGTTTCAAATTACTTTGTATGTTGAATGTAGCCATGTATTTATAGGGCTCTAGGCATCTAGGATTTTTCAAAGAATATCTTCTTAATTTGGAAGGAAGATATTCTTTCCCCAAATTGTAGAGATTGAATCAATTAGGGATTTCATTGGGATCAAATCACTATTGATGATGATACCTCCAAATTAATATAATATCCCAAATTGGTGATATTATCTTTTAAATAAAGATTATATCCCATATTTAAGATAATATCCCTATTTTTAGTATCTACTAATTTGCCAAATAAATGGGCTCAATTAATTGACCTAGGAGATATTCTTCTTATCTACGTGTCACCTTGTAATTGGAAACCGAAATATTTGTTCCCATAACACTGATCCCAAGACATGACTCCAAGGTAAGAACATCTACCACCAATGGTGTGACAAAAGCCATACCATCACCAAATTTAAATATGTTGTGATACATGTAAAAGCAAGTACTATGGTAAAAAAAGTGAGGATGCGAAGAATTGTCTCACATTGAAAAGTTAAGAAATTTTGTATGGACTTAAAAGGAGTTGGACTACTCCTCCCAATGTAAATTGATATTAAGGTAAAACATGCAATAATATTCACGGGTCTTGTTTTATTTACTCAAATTTCTCAATCACAAGTGAAAAATACTTTCTATAGACACCCACATTTAAGTTCCCCATATATAAAGCTCAAAATTTAGCACATAATTCAAATTGTATCGTGTAGTCCTCCATTGTAGGAAAGATATCTTTAGCACCCAAGATGGTGATAGGCTAAAAGATCTTTGAATTGATTGACATACTGAAGAAGAAAAATGAATGCTTGACTTATACAACTATGCTTGAAGGATAGTTCTACATTGTTCATTTGATTTATTGAATTAGTTATTCATACACAGCAAACTTAACCAGTGAAGGTGCTCAAATCTTGTTTGAAATGTTAGGTGGGCCAAAATTTTATTATAACAATTGATGGTGTGAGATTTGATTTCTATCAATGTCTATGAAACGTTTTGAGTTTATCAATATTTAATAAGAAAAATAGATGTGAGATTTGGTTTCTATTAATGTCTATGAAACGTTTTGAGTTTATCAATATTTAATTAAAAAAATAGATGTTTAAATTGAATGTGACACCCTCTGGGTGAGTGGCAGAGGGCTCATTGATGACGTGGCATCCTCTGTGAAAGGACCGGCCCTGAATTCCCCCTCGGAATTCGTGACGAACCCTCTCCTTATTTGACGTCAGGCATATGTCGGCCCAAACTACTAAAGTACCCTTCTTGCCCTAATTCCAAAACAACTTTAGGGCTTCACTTCTACCGGAAAATCGGCATAGCCTCCCTTGAAACTGGCTTAAAACCCAAAAATCTGCCTGCACAACAAACACACTTATTTCATAAGCGTTCATACTAACAAGGGGAACAACTTTTGGTCTCGGACCACGGCCAAAAAGTGACCGGAGCTAGATGAAATCACGGCCAAACCTTCGGTCATATATGGGTATTTTGATTAACTTCCAAAACTCCAAAATCGATCAAAACCACTTATATAAACAGATAGAGCACGAAGAGTGGATGAAGTTTCATACATCGATCGATGGAAACAATGGCCGAAGTCGCAGAAAACGGCGTTAGAAGCTTCGAAAATCGCAGACACTTCTAGTCATTCCAGTTGAAATTCCTTGGGTTTTTGAGTTGGGAAAATAAGTGGGTTAGATAAAGGATGTCGATACAAAACCTTTGGGATCAATTTCACCTGAAATGGTCGCCGGACAACGACACAATCGCAGGCCAAGGTCCAGCGTTGCATGGAGCGAGCGAGAGAGAGAGAGAGAGAGAGAGTCGCCCCCGAGAGAGAGTTGCCAGCTTTTAAAATTTTGACTTTGCAAAAATTACGGTTGTGCCATTGCACTTCTGTATATCATAACTTCTTCGTTTTAACTCCGAATTGAACATGCTGCCTATCTACGAACTCGTATCGTCGAGCTCTATGCAATGGTGTAGCTCAATTCCCCAAATTCTTTTATGAACAAAAAGTGATTAAAGTGCCCCTACACCCAAGGGCAAAAATGTAATTTGACAATAAATAATCAATTGAATAGTGATTTTTGGGATAGGGTGTTACACTCTGGGTGGTTGGTCAGTCGTAGATTGAAATATGTGTCTCCATTTTTTAGAATCATTTGTTGGTGGAATATTTATAGGTTTAATTGTCTTTTAATGGAGCAGCACATGAGCATATAGGCGAACCACACAGGCACGAGCGCACGTTGCAATCGACATGATCCACATGATGTCCTTACACCAGATGAATGTTAATGGGCATGGTTGGCTTTTTAACCTAAAGAGTCTCCCTATGTGCAAATAAGAGATTTTTTAGGCTTTTTTGGGCTTTTGGGCCTGCTCACTGCCTTAAGTAGCAAGGACTTGTTTTTGGACTCTTTTTGGCATGTCCATTTCATATTTAATATCAACAGTAAAAATATCATTTGTGTAGATATTAGGCATACTTACAAGCCAAGCAGCCTTGCTAATCTTAGTTGGTGTTATCATCAATAGATAATATTTGTTTTTGATACCAACAATATTGGGATAGGGAAAATTGAACCTAGTACCTGAGTAAATGATCTAAACCACTTGAGTTACAAGTCCCTCTCTTAGTACATAATAACTTCAGTTTTCTTCCATTTATTTATTTTTACAATGTGTTTGGATGAGAGAAATAAACTTGGAATTTTGACAAAAGTTAGAATTTCTAAATTAACATGAACCAATTCCCGTGTTTGGATAAAAGAAATAGAAATTTAGAAATTTCGTGTGGAAAAAAAAGGTGGAATTTGAAGGTCATAAATACCAACTTTAAATTCTAACTAAAAGTCATCATTTCTAAAATTTCAAGAGAGATTCAATTTTTAAAAAAGATAACTTTACAAATAAAAATTAAATTCTGTACTTTAAATCTGTCACCCAAACAAGAAACTTTACAAATTCTAAAACATTAATTTTTGTCATTTTAAATTCAGTCATTTATGAATTCTTTTGTACTTTTAAATTTACTCATCCAAACGCACTGTTAGTGAATAAATATCTTTGGCTTTCGTGGTTAATTCAATTATTCACACCAGTCAATTAGGCCCTGACAGGTCTTGATGTATATATTGGGCATAAATTTTAAGGTCCAATATTTATTTGGGCTAATATTGGATCTTCCCCACCAAATAACGCCCTGACCTGTTGGTATTTGATGTCTTCCACTTGAGAGTTATAAAGGGTATATTGGTTTGAGTTTCTTTACATTCGAAAATATTGACAGAATGTTGATGCTTTATTTATGTCATATCAAGATTATTTGAGATTTTTCTATCAAAATAACAAGATAATATCAACAACATATCGAGATGATATTTTTATAATAGTGTTATTTCAAAATACTAGTAGTAACTCAACTAACTTTAGCCATTTGTAACTCAACTTTGGCATACCAATAGTGATATGCCCTTGATCAATTTGTTGGGATACAATTATATTAAAATTAAAATTAAAGCAAAACCCTAGGGGAGAGCACATGATGATCCCAATTTTCAATGCATATACATATATATTCAAGTTGAAGACCTTCCAATATGTAATAAAATATAACTGAACCAATTCCCACCTCACCAAGTGCATGAATCAATTTTGGATGCAGAAAAGCTTCTCCAATTGAAATGGTGTTCATTCAATGATTGCCCTGTAGCCATCAAACACATAGACTTGAAGACAGGGACTTAGAAATAGGCCTTTCCACGAGGGCTCTTTAGGCCTCTTAAGGCCATCTCCAATTGAAATGGTGTTCATTCAATGATTAACCACATAGAATGGCTCACCACATAGACTTGAAGACAGGGACTTAGAAATAGGCCTTTCCACGAGGGCTCCTTAGGCCTCTTAAGGCCATCTGCAACCTATGAGGCTAAATATAAAATATTCCAAATTATAGCTTAAAACCTCTCTTAACCCAGAAAATGAAGGGGCCAAAATTTGGGAAAACCCAAACTTGGATCCAAATAGCAATCCAAGTATTGCCTGGACCTAAAACTATTCAGTAGAGCCCACCTACAGCTGGCACAGCCCGTGTGCATTAGAAAACATATTAGGGCCCGCACTGAGGCCAGCCCTGCTGCCTTTGTCTGCTGGCCTGACGCATCTTGAATGATGTTGTCAACCACGAGCCATACTTTTGCTAGAACAAAGACAGGCTCGGCCGACAAGGGCTATCCCCTGAGCAAAAGTTAATTGTTGTCTTTCGTATGCTCTCATGGGGATGCTCGGCTAACACGACCGATGAGTACTATAGATTGGGTGAAAGCACAGCGCTTGAATCACTGCATAAGTTTTGTTGTGCTGTTGAAGCCGTGTATGGACAATGGTACCTCAGGTCTCCAAATCCAGTTGACATTTACAAGCTATTGCACAAGGCAAGTCGTTGAGGCTTCCCAGCATGTTAGGAAGTCTTGATTGCATGCACTGGGAATGAAAGAACTGCCATCTTCTTGGGCAGGCCAGTTTACTCAAAAAACAAAAAAAAAAAAAAAAACCAAAACTGTTGTGCTAGAGGCCGTGGCCTCGTACGACACATGGATATGACATGCCTTTTTTAGAGTCGTTGGATCCAACAATGATATCAATATTTTAGCTCGTTCTCCATTGTTCAATGATGTGGTACATGGAATGGCTCCTCATGTTGAATATATTGTCAATGGAAATCAATACTATTTGGGCTACTATTTGGCAAATGGGATCGACCCCCATTGGGCTACTTTGGTGAAGACCATCTCTTCTCCTGATAACCCAAAGAAGAGGCTTTTTGTACAAATGCAAGAAGCGTACAGAAAGGATATTGAAAGAGCATTTGGAATATTACATGCTTGATGGGCTATTGTTCGGGGCCCTGCGCATATGTGGCGCAAGGATAACCTCCACTCAATCATGATGACGTGTATAATTTTGCACAACATGATTGTGGAGGATGAGTACGAATATGTTGAAGAGGAATATGATGATGAGGATATGTGTCCACAACGATCCAGGAAGGCCAGAGCAAGACAGTATGAGCTGGAGCCAAGCATTACATACGAGTACCACCAAGATAGGCAGACTCTCTCTAGTTACATGATTCGTCATAATAGAGTTCGATCTCCACATGTGCATCATAGTCTCCGATATGATTTGATCGATCACCTTTGGAGGAGCTTTGGAGATTGTGAATGAGGTCAACAATTGTTTCAATCCTCCTTTTGTGTTTCAATTATCTTATGTGTTTGTTCTATGTTGTGTGTTTTCTTTTGGAATAAAATTATATTTGTGGAATTTCAATTTTTTTTCAGGTCAAATTGTTCAAAAAATTAAATTATGACGTTATTTAAAAAGATTAAACGAAGAAAAGTTTTCCATAAAAGAAAAAATAGACTTAAACCATTCTTAAACAATTTAATAAAGTTGCAGATTTAAAATTTGAGTCCACGGGGTTGGGAGAAAAAACTATTTGAGGTTGGGCAAAACCCAAATAATTACTTTTTGAAGGGGGAAAATTTGGGTTTAGCCCCTCATGGGTTGGAGAAGGCCTAAGAAACCAGCTAGCTACTAAGAGCTAGGTGTGCCAAGCAATACTATGCAGAAAAAGACACCATATTGACAGTGGCAAATTTATGCACCTCCCTTCGTCGGAATAAATCATTATAGGTCCTTTAAATTGCCCATTTGTTCAACTGCTGGTGGTGTACTCCAAGTGTTCAACAAAATGACTCAGCGAAAGTCTGTTGCGCTGTGTAGTGAGTGCCAATTTTTTATTATTTATTTTTGAAGTCTTGGGCCAGGCAAAAAGAGAGAGGAGGAAACTGGACTGCAATTCATGGGCTTTAAACAACATGCTTAAGTCTGCATTTCGCGGGCTTTAAAAATTCTTTAAACATGTTTTATTTTCTTATTTAAACAAGAATTACAAAAGAATTTTAAAAAGAAGGAAATCAATTGGTTCTATTGCTGCATTTTTTTTTCCTTCTTCACCAAGAGTAAGTATGTTGTTATGCGTTTTTTTTTCTTTTTTATCAAAAGCCAATTCGTCTCTTCTTTTCTTTTTTTTCCTTTGTTTTTTCCCTTTTTTGTAATCTACTTCTTATAGTGGTCAACAGCCCTCCAATTGGCTCATGCTTGCCCAATAATGCAAATAATAAAATGCTTATTCAACTTAAAGCGTAAATTTTAAGTATATAATGTGTAGTAAATTAGTATTTTTTTTAAAATTAGGCAAATGGGAATTGGAAGGAGGTCATTGTTTTTGTTGCTTTCAAGACTAAATAAAATAAGCCAGTGCTGGGGTTTAGGTGTCAAGCCATTCCCATGCTTCCTGCGAAAGCCTTTCCACTAGTGAATTTTTAAACGTCATTTGCTTCTTTTTCTTTTTCTTGTTTTTTTTAACATGACGCTCTCTTGGATTTTATGAGTAACTTTGTTTGTAAGATCCTCCCAACAATTTTGTTTGTATATTATGTATATACGCACCAAAATCAATTTTATTTTTTGTAGACAACTAGTTCAAGTGGGTACTGGTGACGCCCTAAAGATTGTGACACCAGACATGACTCCAAGCTAAGAACATCTACCTCCAATGGTGTGACAAAAGCCACTGCTACTAAATTTAAATATGCTTTGATGCATATAAGAGTAAGCGCAACGGTAAAAAAATGTGAGCATGTGAAGAATTGTCTTACATCGTAAAGTTAAGAAATTATGTAAGGGTTTGATGCAGTATGTGACAGTAAGAATGATGAAGAATACAAAAGAAAACAATAAACATTCAATCCTTGTTGATTCTATAGATGAGAATAACTAAGAACAAAGGGGTTCTATGCCTTGTTGATTCCAGCGGAATACAAAGTTGATAGGAAAATAGAGAGAATTCTCTACATCTAATATTCAACATAAAAAATTATCTTACAATTAGCTATAAGATGGCTTTTATACTTAGGGAAAACAAACCAAACTCCAAACCCGAGCTGAAATAGGAAAACAAACTTACTTCCTAAACCAAACTCCAAATTTTAATTGAAATAGGAAAATTTTTTTTTGCCTAAAACAGATTCCTAGAACATTAATTACGCATCTTACGCCTGTCAAATTGAAACAAAAAATTATGAGCGATACGTGCTGCATCAGGGCTTATATGAGCTGGACTACTCTACTTATTGTCAATTAATTTTAGAGTAAAACCTACAACAATATTCCTCAGTGTTGTTTCATTTGCTCAAATTTCTCAATCACAAGTGAAAAATACCTTTTATTGAATTAGTTATTTATACACACCAAACTTAACCAGTGAAGGTGTTCAAATCTTGTTTGAAATGTTAGGTGTGCCAAAATTTTATTATAACAATTGACGATGTGAGATTTGATTTCTATCACTATCTATGAAATGTTTTAAGTTTATCAATATTTAATAAGAAAAATAGATGTTAAAATTGAATGTGACAACCTTTGGGTCAGTCACAAAGGGCTCGTTGATGACATTGGTCACAGATTGACATGTATCTCTTCATTTTAGTGAATCATTCGTCGGTGGAATATTCATAGGTTGAATGGTCTTTTAATGGAGCAGCACGTGGATTTCTGAGCGAAGCACATAGGCGCTAGCAGGCACTACGATCGATATGATCCAAGCGCTGTCCTTACAACTCGACCATAGTCTAAAATTTTGATAATATCGGTATTATCTTTTTTTCGAGTCATGGATATTTCAAAACGTATTCATACACATATCGTTTAAATATCTACAATATCGACAATAATATCTAAAAATATCAATGTCAATAATTTTACTCACACTTCAGCAATATTTTGTCAAAATATCGCTATAATATCAAAAATATAGAAATTATCGATGTAATGAAAAAATGAAGAAAAAAAAACACAAAGCACACGCAAAGGGGATTCAAACCCCTGCCATTTCACTCCTCCAACGTCTTAACTACCATGTTGCTTATGTTTTTATGATAATATGCTAAAATATGTATACTTTTCTTGTTTTGTTTTGAACTGTTTTTGCAAAAATCAGATTTTCACAAAAGAATGTGAGTCTTGACCTTTCCCTTTTGGGATGGAAATGAGCAGCTCATTGAAAGAATCCGAGACCCAATCTTCAAATGATTCTGCTTATGGACAACGTCAACCAATCTCGGATCCATAAGGATGGCATGTTAACAATTACATGCAAAATTATTTTGGGGATTTATCATTTGATGACTACTTTTCACAATATACTTACTCTACACATAGAGATGATGAAGATAGTGAAAAATTTGAACCTCATAGGAACTCTATGTGATACTAAATCACTCATGTATCTTACGATGCAATGTATAAAGTGAATATTATAATAAATCATTATATATAAATGATTATATGTGTTTAATCTTCTTTCATTAATTACTCCATATTTTCTACACTCACAGTGTTTGTCAGCTCGCTGTATAATAAACTTAAATCAGTTAAACCCATTATGCGATGCATTTCCTTCCCATCATGCAATGCATTTCCTTCCAATTTTTTGTGATATACTAATAGATAATTGACTAAATAAACATCCTCCAAAGTTTCAATAAAAATTTCCAAGTTTTTCTTACAATTTCCATGGTTTTTATTCAATTTTTATCAATATCGATATTATCCCGATATTTCCATCCAAATTTCCGTATTTTTAGACTACCGATATTTCCTATACCATCAATATTTTAAACCTTTAGCCCGACCACATGAATGTTAATGAGCATGGTTAGCCCTTTTATCCTAAGAGCCTCCCTAGGCGCGAATAAAAGGTTTTTGGGCTTTTTTTTTGGCCTTTTGGGCCCGCCCACTTCCTTAAGTGACGAGGACTTGTTTATGAACTCATTTTGGCATGCCCAGTTCATATTTGATATCAACAGCAAGAATATAATTTGTGTAGATATTAGGCATAAGAGAAGCAGCGTTACTAATCTTAGTTGGTGTCATCATACCAGCGATATTAGGATAGGGAAAAATTAAACTTTGTACCTTAACAAATGCTCATAACGACTTAAGTTACAAGTCCCTCTCTCAGTACATAATAACTTCGGTCTTCTTCCATCTATTTATATTTTAGTAAATGAATTATCTTCGGCTTTGGTGGTTAATTGAATTCAATTATTCATTCCAGTCAATTGGGGCTTGACGGCAGCACATATTGGGCATAAATTTTAAGGTCCAATATTTATTTGGGCTAAGATTAGACCTTCCCCACCAAATAACACCCTGGCCAGTTGGTCTTTGATGTCTTCCACTTGAGTTATACAGGGCATATTGGTTTGAGTTTCTTTACGTTTGTTTTATTCACAGATAACAAATAGAAGGAAAATAGTACTTAACTAGTTACGCTTAAATTTTTCTTCGGAAAATAGTTTCAAATAGCATTATCATTATGACAAAGTTCTCATGTAACAAATCCGCAATATCTGCACAATATTGGTGCTTTAATTATGTCGTATCAAGATTATTTGGGATTGTTTGCTATCAAATTAACGGGATAATAGTTTCAAATAGCATTATCATTATAAAGGGAGCTGATTTTCCCACTCATCTTTTGTCCATTTACACTCCATTGTTGGAAATGTATGATTCCACTCCCCTCTTGTTCACTTACCCTCCTTTTTTGTTATAGTAAAAAATATTGAAAAACAAAAAGGAGTGTAAATTGACAAAAGAAGAGTGGAAAAATCAGCACCCAATATAAACAGCTTATCAAGATGATATCCATATAATAAGACTATTTGTTGCAGAATTAATATAATTGTAGCCTTATTATTAACAGAATTCTTGAATAGCATTATTTTTATACCAAATCGATAATGTCGGCATAATATTGATATTTTATTTATGTCATAACAAGACTATTTAAGACTGTTTGTTATCAAAATAATGGGATATCTTTATAATTAGACTATTTGCAACGATAACAGTGTTATTTCAGAAAACCAATAGTAACTCAACTTTGGCACGAACCTTAGCCGTTTGTAACTCAACTTTGGCATACCAATAGTCATATGCCCTTCATCAATTTGTTCGGATACAATTATATTAAAATTTAAATTAAAGCAAAACCCTACGGGAGGCAAAAAAAACTTACCTACCTTCAATTTCAATGCATATATATTTTCAAGTTGATGACCATCGAATCTGTAATAAAATATAACTGAACCAATTCCCACCTCACTAAGTGTATGAATCAATTTTGGATGCAGAAAAGCTTCTCCAATTGAAATGGTGTTCATTCAATGATTGCCTCTGTACCCATCAAACATTAACCACATAGAATGGCTCATCACATAGACTTGAAGACAAAGACATAGAAGTAGACCTTTCCATGGGAGCTCTTTAGCCGTTTTAGGCCATCTCCAGTTATAGGTTAAACACAATTTTGGCTAAATTTGGAGGGATACATTTGGCCATTTAGCCCTCCAACCAGGCCACATTTAGATCAGCTTTGGCCTAGTCCTAGGCCAAATTTTTTGTGGGCTCCATGCATGTGGATGTCAAACCATTGAAACCCATCCTTTTAAATAAATAAAAAATGTAGTCACCTTTTCAAATGTTTTAAGTGTTGTTTAAAAAAATTATAAAAATTCTTGGTTATGGAATATTGTCTCTAAATAGTAGTTTAATTAAATTAAACAATACATAGTTGTGGAATGTATGTGTTGTGTAATATTCCACATCGACCAACGGAGATGGGGTGATGTGCCTTATATGTACATGCCCAGCTATATCTAGCACGAGGCTTTTTGGGAGCTTACTGGCTTCGGAGTCATGGAAACTCCGAAGTTAAGCGAGTTGGGGGCTAGAGCAATCTCAGGATGGGTGACCCACTGGGATGTTGCTCGTGAGTTCCCAGAAACAAAACCGTGAGGGCAGAGAGGGGGGCCCAAAGCGGACAATATCGTGCTACGGCGGAGCCGATCCCGGGATGTGACATGTTGTACCATAGTTTTTCTCAAAATAATAAAATATGAAGAACCCTAAAATATAGCCCTGCATGACTGGAGATGGAAAAATTTAACCTTACACTATTCTTTAAAAAATTAATATTTTGGATGGCTAAATTAAATGGTCTTAGAAACCAGCTAGCTACTATAAGAGCTAGGTGTGGCAACCAATTCTATGCAGAAAAAGACACCATACTGATGTGCATTTCATTATCAGGGCAAAAAAAGAAAAGACCCACTGGGACCACAATCTTACCTTGTGAATTATTGAACAAAGTTGCGGACAAAGTATGGTCCATTTGGATTTTCCGTGTCCCAAAAGTTCTTTAGCCCTCTTTAGGTTACGTTTGGTTCACGAACGGATTTGAGAGGAAATCATTTTCTATATTATTTTCCAAGGGATGAGAAATTGAGATTCTTTTCCCATATTTGGAAATTCTGGTAAAGTAACCAAGAAATACCACTTTATTTCCTTTCACATGTTTAGTTTGTGTAAGAATGTAAAACAAAGTTCGTTTAATTTTCCAATTATACCCATATGAAATCAAATAAAAAAAGCATGCATTTTATGCTATATTGTAATTCTAAATTGTTAATGGGGACAATATGATCATGCAAAATGTGTATTAAATGTTGGATCATTTTTCCAAACTTTCCGTAAAGAAGGAAAATAAAACCCAGGGAGGATCATTGGAACTTACTCCTTACTCATCTTTTATGGTCCTCAAATTATTCAACTCTGCCATGGCCACCTGCCAATTCCATCAGTACAGAAGGTTTCTGATGTTAAGAAACTGAGACCAGTGAAGAATGCACTGAAGGGTTAATGTTATTTATTTATTTATTTTTGAAAGTTGATTCGAGAAATTCCTCTTTTCTGGTTTTCCTCAAGAACCAAACAAATTTGTACGCTTACTTTTTGGCAATTAAGCTTTCTCGAAATGCTATGCAACAGAACAGGGTAATAGAAAAAGGGCAGGCTTAAAACTTAAATATGCATAATGACACTGCACAATTAGGCACACAACTACTGTCCAATATTATAAATTTCTAATTCCATTACAATTGCTTGCGTCTGAATGAGCCAGAAGCAACTGCATTACATACTTTGGGATCACCTAGAAATAGAAAAGTAAAAGATCAAGCACAAAGACTACTCACACAATCTGCAAACACCAGATTAACTAAACAGGAAGGGAGTGATTCTTGAACTTTCTGAATCAAATCTTCCATCTCTTTGGTTCACTTGTATTCCAAAATCATGTTGTTCTCAGGAGCCAGACCAACACAAGCCCTCAGGATATTCTCCAGCATTGCCCTCTGCTTTGACAGTGCATTCACCACAGGAGTGCCTGGTGGAACCTGTTTTGCCAACAAACCACACCAGATTATTATAAATCACTCAGTAGTTTCAAGACTCACATGACCTGATTAATATTTTCGAACCTCCTTCCCCACTCTCATGTGAAGCCACCATGTTTTTTTAACTAAAAAACATAAATGTCAAATCAACTACTTGAAGCCCAATTCCCCCATGACCCAATTAATATTTCTGACCCTTTTCCCCCTCTTTTGTGAAGCCACTTTGGAATCTTAACCAGAAAACATAAATGTCAAATCAACCATTTGAATTCTAATTTCCTCTTTCTGTCTTTCATTTCTGGATACCTCTCAAGAGCATTAATGTGCAAAAATAAATTCATAACAGCAACTGATGTATACCAATGACAGTGACAAAACCATTGATATTAGACTTACAAGAGGAGCCTTGCTGAGGTAACTGAGAATGGTTGCCACTGGGTGGAAAGAGTGGAACTTGCCCTATAAACAAAAGGAGACAGAAAAACATTTTAGCATAATTTCTAATGACAAGTCATTATTAATGCTACTATGACCAATATAATGTGGCTTCTAAATAATAACTGTTGCACAAGCACATCAAAAGCTAGTTATGCTCCAATTGTGAACAATTAAGCTAAAAGTGAGCAATTGTATTATTATTGTTACAAAATCAAATATACCTCTGCTTCAGATTTGAGCTGGATGCGAGTGCTGAGCTCAGCCAGGAGAACCAAATCAAGTATGATAGGAGCAGCCAAGAGGGAGTCTTCACAGGTGTTGTGCATCACAATGGTGTTTTTCCCACCCAAGAAAATCTCAGAAGTGTACTCATCCATGGCTCTCTTGCTATCTGCCACATACGGCACATACTTGATGACCACAACATGGTCAGGGTGTTCACCAGGCTCATAGAGGATGCCATTGCTAGAGACCATGTCATCCACAACATTGCTCTTTGAAATCTCTTTGGACCTGAAGGTTTGTGGGGCTGAAAGATTCATGCCATCATTGTTTCCAAGATGGTTATAGCTCACTATGGATGTTGGCTTGATGCCAGCCCCAACAAGGAAATCAACCAAAACTGATTTCATCTTGGTCTGACCACTCTTAAAATCATCCCCACCAATCAAACAGTTTCTCCTTATTGCCAAATCAATCAGCCCTGCCAATAATAGTCACATTCAATAACATCAAACACTTGATTGGAGCAAAGGGTTATTAGCTAAACATTTTGGAAAATAAGAAAGAAATGAGAAAAGGGTATTTATTAGCCAAAATTTTTGCAAAAGAAAGAAAACATAAAAAGGGCTATTAGCTAATTAGCTAGGGTACCTGGGACAAAAGTGTTTTGCGGGCTTCCATTGATGAAAGGAACGTTTTCAAGAACACAAGCTATGGCATACAAGGTGGAAGGAGAAATCTCAGCTTCATTCTTGTCCACTGAACCCAAAAGGTTCTCCACGGTGTCGTTTAACCCCACAACCACATTACTGTACCTCTCAGTGTTGGCAGTCCACAGCACAACCACCTTGTCCACTTTGTTCTGCTCCTTAAACTCTCTGTTTAATTAGCACATACATAAAGCACCAATTAGCACCAAACTTGACAGTTAACACTGTTGATTTGTGTTAATTAATTAGATTTTAGTATTAACTAGTACCTAATGTCTTTGATGATTTGTTGGACTTGTTCCTTCTTGGTCCCCTTGATCACGTTGTTGGCACGTGCACCTTGGTTAGCAGCAATGAAATCAGGGTCATAGATTCCAGGGAGTGGGAGCATGGACTCCATGTATGGCCTCAGTTGCTTTTGCAGATCAATGTCCAGGACCCTGGCCCTAGCCATAGCATCTGCTAGGTTCATATCACTTATATCCCAACCCCCAAACACAATGTCATCTGGGTTAACCTGAAAACCAAATTTTTAGGTTTTAATTAATGTTAATGTATAATTTTACATAATTAATTAAACCAGAAGCAACTGAAACACCAATTAAGAAATCAAAAGTATAAAATTACCATTGGAAGCAGGCTCTTAAATGGGGCATAGATCTCTTCTCCATTGAAAGACCCAACACGGATTGATGAGGCTTGGGTCAGTGAGCCAAAGTAATTGGCTTGTTGCACCTTGTCCTTGGTTGCCCAGGAGATTCCTCTGATAATTTACAATACCCATATCTTACAAGTAATAAAAAATTCATGTACAGAAAAAGTGGAACATTTAAAAAATATATATCAACATTTTAAAGCACAAACACAATCTGAACAACCATCACAATGATTAAAGCTTAAATTTGATTCCCAAATAAAAATTGTTACTAAAATGCAGGTGGAAATGAAGAAATTGAAGCACTCACTCTCTGTTTGCTATGACACCAGCAGTGAGGGTTGAGCCATTGTTTCCACCCCAGCCCACAAGCATTACCCTGTATCCCAAAAATCAACAAACACATCAAATCAATAAAAATCAAAACTTTAAAACCCAGAAAACTTATGAAAGACAAAATCATAACCCAACAATCAGATTTCATTTTTAATTTTGAAATGGCAAAACAAAACGGTCTGGGTTAGTGATGCAAACCCTAGTTTGGGGACATGGATATCAGTCTTGAATTCATATTTGACAGTCTTGGGCTTGACAATCCATTGGTATGTGCCCTCCCTGTCCTCATGGACAAGCTCAGTGGTCTCGTAGCTGTACACTGAATGAATCTCATTCTCTGTATACTTTACATTAGGGGACTCTACCTTAAAGCTCTCGATGAACATTTTCTCAATCTCTGTTTTTGTTCTTCCTCCCCGAGAAAATTAGATTTTCTATGGAACCAAACAAAGACCGGAGAGAAGATAAAGATTAAGGTGTGGCACTACTTATCAGTTCTCAATCCTAGGCTTGTACTGCTCCTTCAACTTGCTCCAATGCGCTGTATTTATAGAGGAGATGTGACACTGCAGCTACACGTGGCTCAACTGAGTGGCTTCTAGTGCCTCAGTATTATTGGCTCTTGGTTTGGAGAAGCTTGGCCATGCAAATACAGCAAAACCCAAAAAATATGAATAAAGAGAAAAGAGAGAAGAGAAAAGGTTGCTTCTATTTAGACCTCTAATTTTCCCCATATAGTACATTATTTTTGTAAGTTCAAAATATAAAATTTTCCAATTTGGCATAATCGAAGAGGCAAAACTGATACGAAAAACTCTTAAAAGAAAATTTCATTTTCTTCCCTTCCGTATTGCCTCTTTTTGCAAGAATATGTATTATTGACGCTTCTTCGTTACACGAAAGTGTTCAGTGGCGGAATCAAGATCTTATCATGTTTGGGGGCACATGTAGAATCCAAGGCCCTAAACCCCAAGGTATTTACCAAAGGAATATACTTCCCTCCTTACAAAGTAAATAAGAGCATGCACAATCATGCTTTCTATTTTTTAGTTAAATTTTAGTTTAAAGCATATAAAAGTTATTTTAGGAGCTCTCTATAAAATTTAAACTTCAATTATGCTCTCTAATTTAGGAAGTCATAAATGATATAACTCATTTTTGATTGGTCCATCTCTATTAAAAAATAAAATAAAAAATAGTTAGTTAAATAAATGTTTGAAATACTCATTAAATAAAGTAGCATTAAATTATAGGAAGCCACTATGAGTCCTTTCTCTCTCCTCAGTTTTAGGAGCTTATAGAGGTCTCCCTATTTTAGGAGGTGGATAGGAAGCATAGTTGGAATTGTATTTTTACAATTCCTCTCTAAAATTTGTCCAATGAGATGGTTTAGGGAGCCATTGTGGATGCTCTAAGAGCTCCTATATTCCTATCAATAGCAATATGACTTGTGTGCATAAGTTTTTTTTTGTGTGTTTTTGATGAATTATTTTTGTATATGTATCAAATTGTAATTTGCAAAAAGTAAGAGTATCTCCTTACAGATAAAGAGACAAGTAATATCCTTTACGAAATCAACCTGCAACGGCACCACCTATCATATGTATATTCTAATTTATATATTGAAAATAAAGATGGTAAACCAAAAAGTAGATCAGTAAAATCCAAAATTGAAATAATCAAACAATTGATCACACCGTGAACACCAAACCAGACAACCAACATGTTGTGTACATAAGATATAAATAAGATTTCGACCAATATATATAAGATTTTATTTTTATCCCTCCTCAAACACCTTGCCTCCATGGCACCATACTAAAACAAAGATTCAGTAGAGATAATATTAGGGACTTTACATGTATCAAAAAGGCGAGTGGAGGTTATAGTCTTCACTCACTCTTGGGTGGCTCCGCCACTGAAAGTGTCCATTGCCGCCATTTATATTATTATTATTATTTTCTCATTTCATGAGAGAAAAATTTATATAAAATAAAATATTGTTAAAAGTTATTAAAAAGAAAGAAAAAAAGAAAAAGAAATAGTGGTTCAAATAGAACCACTCAAGCAAAAATGAAATGAAAGGTAATTTTATGAAAATATTAGTATCACAGAGAGTTCCTATGAGGTTCAAATTTTTTACTATCTTCATCATCTCTATGTGTAGAGTAAGTGTATTGTGAAAAATAGTCATCAAATGATATACATGTGATATAAATGTGTGAACTTTGTCAAAGTAAGAAATGTAAGGTCCATCATTCCTTCCCTGTCCATGTCTCAATATTCAGAAGAAAAAAGAACTTACCACTTGGACGCCACAATACAAAGCAAACCAAGGATGACTAATTTTACAAGAGAAAACACCTTGAATCCCCTTTGTGTTTTTTTCCCTTTTTTTTTCCTTTTTTTTTCATTACATCGATATTTTTGATATTTTAGCAATATTATAGTGATGTTGTAACAAAATATTGCTGAAGTGTGAGCGAAATTATCTACATTGATATTTTCCAATATTGTCGTCGATATTCTCGATATTTATACGATATGTGCATGGATACGTTTCGAAATATCCGTGATTCGAAAAAAACGATAATATCATCGATATTTCGTCGATATTATTGATATTTTAGACTATGGTTATGAGATTAAAAATATAGCATTGGATATAAATAAATATTAAAATTATATATTTTTTAATTTGGCCAATTCAGTTCGGCTCGATTCGGTTTGTTGTGGTATAGAACAGGAACGGGAACCAGTTAGAACCGGTTCGATTCGGTTTTTTGAATTGGATTTGACTTTTTAGTCAACACGATTTTCTTTTGGTTTTTTCCTATCGGATTTGGTTTGATTGATCGATTCTTCGTTTCCGATGCCCACCCCTACCTAGGACTCGAACCCAAGACTTTACCTGAAGGAGTAATGTTTTGTTTGTTAATTAATGAAATCTTGACAAAAAAAAAAAAAAAAAAAAAAAACAAAAAAAAAAAAAAAAATTATTTCAAATAGGGTGTGGGTGTCCACAATTGTACGTGGGAAGGAAGATGGAGAAAATGGATTTGTACACGTGGCGTAATCTGATGGACCCAATTGTTGCGAGGTAGGATCCGAACTCTGAAGGCGCTCGAAGTGCAATGGCGACGATGACAGTGGCACGTGGGTGAACCGAATGAGTGACGGAGACTTAATGGTTTCTCCAATCGCTTTACGCACGTAGTTGCGCATGTTACACACGCTTGGAATCTGTCCATTTGCACTGCGCACTAGTCAGCAATTCAATTTTCTTATTGGAAAAAGTGCTTCAGGGGGTCTAAAATGGAAACTACTTTTTAATTACAACTGTTTATTTATTTATTTATTTACACTCAAATCATTTGTTAATAATAAATTTTATAATACAAGAAGTTTTATCTTATTTTAGAAAACCTCTCGAACCATCTTCAACAATATAGAATATATACGACACTTGGAAACTTAATAAAATGTGATTTTCTTTAACAACCAGTCAAAATTTATCAAGTGCATGTACTAGTCATTCGCTGGAAATTAACCCAACTTACTAAATTATTGGTGGCAGATGGCACAAAATGCCCGATCCCCCAGTACGTAAGAGAAAGGTTTTCTGATATATCTATACCACTATTTATTTACTCTATTTTTACAACCCGACATTACATAGAATATGTGTACTTACTGATAAGTGTTGAAGTTTATCCGAAGGAAAATTAAAATAAAATAAAATAAAATTTACCATGATGAGATAAAGAGACAATACAAGAGGAAATCAGATGCATTTTCTTTTCGTGTATAAAAGGTGTGAGCCAATAATGCAATAGGTTGCAATGAAATGAAGGCCATGCAATCAATTAGAATTGTCAGGATCATGTGGTATACATATATCCAAAAGACGCAAGCCACTTGCCCCCAAAAAGGGCTTGTGGTAAAATGAGCACCACGCACATCGAGTGGCCAAAACGTACATGGAAATGGCATCTCTACCCTAATAAAACCCGAGAGAGAGAGAGAGAGAGAGAGAGAGAGAGAGAGAGAGAGAGAGAGAGAGAGCCCACCGTCAACCCCCCAATGCCGTGCTGGTAAACCACATTTGCTTTCTTGGGGTTGAAGGAGTCCAAGTGACGTGAATATTCTTTCTTTGTACAATTTTCTCGACTACTAGTTCTTCCTTGCTTTCTACTGTGGAAAAAGTTCTAGAGTGGCCATTTGAACATGGCATTATTTTGGTTGAATTTGGACCACCTCTTTTATAATGTCTACATCAAATTGAAGTAATTAGTTCTTTTTCTTAATTTCCACATTTGTTTCTTATCATTTGAAAATTTTCTTGAGGCTCGTCGCGACACCAATCATTACGCAATGAATGACTAATTTTTAACATTTTTAGGGTAACATGCTAATATTATGAAAAGGGAAGTTTGTTGATGTGAAATGTCTGGATATCGTAGGGGCCTCAATCCTGGTTCTTTGATAATAGCACTTCAACAAAATTTCCAATGAAAAAGAAGGCGCACACATAATACAATTGTCTTTAGAACTGTCAGGAAGAAAGTGCTCAAGATGGTTGGTGTAGAACAAAATGGAATGCTATGAATTCACCATGTGGCATCTCAATGGCCTGTTATTTCTGCAGCTCATCCCAACAAACATACGTACCAATAATAATTTTTGAAAGGGGAAGTACCTTCGAGCAGAACTTTTTCAAAAAATGCTTTTCGAAGATTGTGGTTATATGGGTAAAGTGGATAAAAGAAACTGCAGGACTGACATGCTTGTGCTTTTCGGAATGTTCTTGACAACTCCACAAACCTTGGTGAAGCATATAGAATGCCGTGAACTTTTCATGCCCTTTTTTTTTGCTTCAAGCTGCTTCAAGAAAAGTGTTGTCATGAAACACAGTTGGGGTACATGAATTATTAGTGTACAAAAATTATCATGTGGTTTAATTTGTAACACGTCTTTCTCAGGTTTTCTGGTCTTTCTTTCTATAGTGATTTATTTCTTAATTACATGTCTATTTCAAGCGAATTTTTTTACAGCAAGTTTCTGGGCCTCATATATCTGATGACTCAGTTGAACTAAAGGCCCTACGGTATTCTATTTTGAATCTTTTCGTAATTGCATGCCTTCAATGAAAGCTCTGCCGATCTGGTTCTTTGCAGAACCAATGTGCTTAATTAGCATCTCAGAATTAGAGCGCGCAAATAAAATGAATCTCTATGAATTTATGCATGTGTTCTAGGACGAAGATTTGGCATACTTATCATTTAGGGTAATTTTCACTTTACTACGTGATGTGATTAATAACAAGTGGACAATATCACTCAAATTAGTACAGTAGTAAATAGAGTATCGTTAATCTATCAAATAATAGAGTAATTTATTTCTAATTATATTTGAATTTAAACGATAAGAGAATTATGATGATTAAAATATGTTGAAGAAAAATGTGAATCTCCCAACATAATTTCACCACAACTAATTAAATAATGGGGTTTTATTCTTTTATGTTTAACCCATTCGAGACGTGTTGTCTTTTAATTACAATTCCTTACTTCAAGAAAACACTCTTTGATTTCATTATAAAGAAACATAATGTGTGTGTTTGGTTTAGCGGCTGCCCCTAAGTCGAACCTCAAGGTGCCTATGTATCATTTGTTGAAATCAAGCCACTCGTAGTTCAAGAATCGTAATGAATAAATGACTCATTGTAAGGGAAATTTGATTTGAATTGTATTGAGTGAATTTAGCTTAATAAACCAGGGATTCAATTTTGAATTGTGTTTGGGGCGAATTTGGCTAAGAATAAACCAGGGATTCTGTTTGAATTTAAGATTTGGGTGGTTGCATCTAGATTGCTCTAGATTGCCTACGTACCCTTTTGAAGGGATCAAACCAACGTAGTTCGAAAATTTGAAAATTAATGGATAAGTGTGGCCCACTAATTTAGAATTTATGTCTCAGATTTTCATAATTAGATGACCCATGAGAAAAGTTGGAAATTAATGAGTAAGTGTGACCCACTAATTGAGAATTTGTGTCTTTGAGACAATTTGGAGATTTCAAGATTTTCATTGGTATGACCCATGAGAAAAGTTGGAAATTAATGGGTAAGTGTGACCCACTAATTGAGAATTTGTGTTTGAGATTTGAATTTAATCTCATTGAAATTTGCATGGGTAGATGACCCATGGGAAAAAATTGGATGGTTTTGTACTATCTTTCTTATTGTCAATGTCCAAGAAAAATAATGAGCAATTTGGATGAACCCACTAATTTTCTACAATTGACATTTGCATTTGGGAAAGTGTTTGGGCGAATTTGGTTAGGATAAACCAAGGATTCAAATTTGGCTGCGTTTGCGTCTAGTGGGATGCTAGACTATCTACATACCCTTGACGGAATTAAACCGACAAAGTTTCAATTATTTGGAAATTAATGGGTAAATGTGGCCCACTAATTTAGAATTTGTGTTTGAGAGATTTGAATTTGATCTCATTGAAATTTCCATGGGTCTGACCTATGAGAAATTTGGAATGGTTTTGTACCATTTTTATTGTCAATGTCAAAGAAAATTAATGAGCTATTTTGATAAACCCACTAACTCAATTCGATCATTGACACTTGTACTCAAACATGGTTTTGAGGTTTTGGGATTAATGGGCTCTTGTGATGAACAAACCCGTTAAGCCATATTGATGCTCCCTTGGTATCTTTTGAGAATGAGCTTAATGCTCAGAGTATGACCCAGCAGTGGAATTTGGAAAAGCAAGGCCGCATGAACTCCTTGTGGGTTTAGGCCTCCTGCATACCCTCACTCGTATCTTGACTTGAGTGTGGAATTAGACTAGTGTTCTTTGAACCGCCTCACTTTGGATTGATATCGTTTTAGCCTTTAGACTGCACTTAAACACTTCATAATTTGATATTGGTGCTGACAGTAAGGTTTGAGAGGCTTGAGCTTGCTCTTTGGTTTTTATCGGTGCTTCTTTGTTGTGTTTTTTGAGAAAACTCTTGCTACTTCGATTTGTGGGAACATCGAGGCAGATAGACAGGAATGCCACGAGCATTTTGTTGAGCCTCTTTGACTGCAAACTTATTTAGTTATCGTGAACCTTTGTTGACACGTTTCGATACTTTCCTCTTGGCAAGTAGTGTCTCATGGCTTACAATCTTTCTTCTTGGGTCTCATATGATGACCTTCTAGCTGTCCATCCTTACTTTCTTTGACATACAATTAGTAACGTTGGAGTCAACAAGTCTTGGACTTCTTGTGCCTTGTCTTTAAAACTGCTGACGTTGCCTTTACCTCATCTCACTACTACAAAAAGGCAAAAGACGACGGGAATTCACCGTCGTGTATTCAGTTTTCAAATGGTCATGAAATCGACTGACATCTTTTCCAAAATCAAACCACAACGATAAATCCCCGTCGTTGTTAAAACAAACAACATCATTAACAAATAACAACCGACGTTTGTGTATTGAAAAATGAGCTAAAAAAACAGTCAAGGATAAGAATAGACGACCAATTCTAACAAACAAACGTCGTTTAAAAGGAAACATATGACATATTTTAACAGAACATGGCCGCAAGAGATACATACAACGACGGGAACTAAAACCCACAGCCGTTAAATACACCTTTCACGACACATACAACTATGACGTCTTTAAATACATAATCGACGACGTTATTGATTCCTACTACGTCACCAGAGTTTCTACAACCGTCGTGAAATAAATTTTCCACTTCGATTTTTCCATTAATGATGACGTGAAAATAGATGTTAGGGTCATTACTTACGACGCATGTATTTCTACAGACGACGTTGTACTCAATAAACAACGTCGGGTCCAAATAAATGAGAGCCGTATTACATAATTTATACGTCATCTTTTAAAATATAATCGTCGTCTAATGCATCTGAAACGACAATGTTTCTCAGTCGATCGTCGTGTAAAATTATTTTTACGACATGATCTGAAAATAAACGACGTGGAAAATATGTTGGGGTCATTACTTACGACACATTCATTTATACAGAGGACGTTGTCGTCAATATACAACGTCGTTATCATGTAAAAGACAGTCGTGTTTCAGAATTTATAGGTCATCATTACTAAAATTACGGTCATCTAATATATATGAGATGACGTAGTTTATCCTATATTCGCCGTGTAAAGTCATTTTAACGACATGATCATAAGAAAAGAGACGTGGATACATTCATATAACGTTGTTTTTGTAAAGGAACGACGTCCAAATATATCTTAACGTTGACAAATTTACCAATGGATTTCAAATACCGTCGTGAATTAATCCTTTTCCACTTCGTTTATGAGAGAACAAGGGACGTGGTAAAATTAAGACGACAATTTTTGATTTGATACGGACGAGTTCATAATCTAAGACGTCGTCTTTTGTAACGTTCAGGTTAGATATCTTGTCTTTTAGACGTCAGTATTATGGGATTGGAGTCGTGTTATTTGGAATTACATGACGGCTCTTTATGCTTCTCCGACGTGATATCCTTAATAACTGTTTTACAATAGCGTCGTGGTTCTACATTGTTACGTTTCTTTAAGACGTCGGTAAATATATTGCGGTCGTTGAATGCTCCAAAACGTCGTTTTTATGACAATTTTATTAAAACAGACGTATGTTTTTCACATTTTTATCAAGACTGTCGTGTTTGTAATCTTGTACCAGTATTTTTTGTACTGATTGTTTTGTGGCCAAAACCTGAATAATGAAAGTGAAGAAATCACATTACAAAATTAATGTCATACACTGCCATAAGTAATTTCATAAATTACATAAGCATCATTCAATCCATATATCTTCACACCCATCTCGAATATTTTGACTCCCAAACTCACCCACCAGTTCATCAAATGTGTCAACATTTGGCATCCCTCTAGTAAATGGCTCACACTCAATTCTCACATCACCTAAGACATCATCACCAATAACATCATTATATTCTCTATTAGACATTTATAACACTACCGACCAACCACGATGCATCGGGTCGTCAACAAAAAATACTTGTTTGACTTGAGAAGCCAAAACAAATTGGTCATTCCTATGTCCAATTTTACTCAAATCTACAAGGGTAAATCCAAGTTCGTCGACTACAAGACCAGAAGTACTATCTATCCAATCACACCTAAAGACTGGGATTGTAAACTTTTGGTAGTCAAGGTCCCAAATTTCTTGAATGACACCATAGAAACCCATATTTGAGAGAATTGGGTTTTTATCCTTGGCACTAGCAACTTGCATGGTATGTGCAAGTAATAAACTCCACTATTTTGAGTTGTCCGCACATCATCTTGTGCCTTGATGTTAAATTTAATACCTTTAATAAGATAGCTCCTATATGATGGCACTGCCATGTTTGGACCAGCTGTTAGCCACCTTAAATTTTCTGATACGCCATGATTGTCTTCCTCATTAAGTTCACTTTGAACCTGCAAATTAATCATATCTTAATTCAATCTAACATAGAAAAAAGAAAATTAAAAGTCCAATATGTTATTCAATAACATATACCTTGAAGCGTAGCCATTGAATGAAAGTGCTATTGTGCTTATCTTGCAGCCACTTTGTTCTCTTTCTAAATTTTGGATAAGCGATCTTGATGTGGATCATATGTTGCCTACATGACACAAAAAATTCAAGCATTACGGTCCCAAACATATAAGATAAACATAAGAAATAATTTAAAATAGAAACTTAAAGAATAAAACTCATACGTACTCGATATAAGGTAGGACTTCCTCCGTATTCTCCAAGACATATAGATGTGCTTGGTTCAACAGGTCCCGATCAACTACGCTCACTGTGCAACCTTATAATGGCTTTGAAACTCCCATCTTTGGGCTTGAAGGCACTTCAACTGTACTAACATCAGATAAATGCTCGGTACAAAACTCTACAGCTTCTTCAGCTATGTATCGCTCAGCAATGCAACCTTCGAGACGAGTACGATTATGAACATACCCCTTTAGCACTTTCATATATCTTTCAAACGGATACATCCATCTAAAATATACTGGCCCACATAGACGAACTTCTCTGACAAGATGTACTACCAGATGAACCATGATATCAAAGAATGAAGGGGGAAAGTACTTCTCAAGCAAACACAAAGTAACTACTACATCTTCTTCCAACTTATCTAGCTTGGAAACATCAACCGTCTTTGCACATATAACATTGAAGAAGAAGCACAAACGAGTTATTGCATACCTTACAGGCTTCTCCAAAACAGAACGAATTGCCACATGGAGCAATTGTTGCATTAAGGTATGACAATCTTGTGATTTAAGGCCAAGAAGTCTTGAATCTTGTAAAGATACAAGATTTTTTATATTTGAAGAATAACCTTCAGGGACCTTCATACCATATAAAGAATTGCAAGCCTCTCTCTTCTCTGCTCTTGACAAATTCCAAGGCCCGGGAGGCAAACGAGTACGTCTTTCTCCATACTCGGGTTGCAAATCAGTTTTGACCCCCATGTTCAATAAATCTAATCGAGCAGCAATCCCATCTTTATTTTTTCCAAGGATCTCCAGCAATGTACCAATGATACTGTCGCAAACATTCTTCTCAATGTGCATAACATCTAGGACATGCCTCACAGGAAGGTATTTCCAATACTCGAGATCAAAGAATATTGATTTCTTCTTCCAACAAACTCTGTCACCATCTTCAACCATATGCAACACTTTTTCTTCGGTTAATGGCTCGGGAGGCGTGTCATATTCAGGTTTCCCATTAAAAGCTTCACGTTGCCTCCTATATGGATGATTGATTGGTAACCATTTTCTATGCCCAATGTAACAAATTTTGTGGCTATTTTTCAACCTGTGACTAGGTGTATCATCGCCGCAAATTTTGTTTGGATGTTGATGTGTGTGTGCGTTTGTGTAGATACACAAACGCACACACATCATCAACTTCCAAAAAATTGTCTCTCTGATTGCAAATCTAAGGCTGCCGTCGTCAAATTTCAAAGGCAATTTTTTGGATGTTAATGTGTATGTGCGTTTGTGTATCTCAAAGACACAAATACACATACATCATTAACCTCTAAAATATTGTCTTTCTGTGGTCTGATTATGATGAGGAACAGAGTTCCATTTGGTAAGATATCGTAACCCTTGGGATCTCAGAAAAATCTGATTATGTCGGCGGTTTTCTATATAAACCGTCGTGGTTATTTCAATTCTTGTCATTAAGTTGATCTTCCGACGTAGGATAACAAAATCCAAGAAATAAATTGTTAAAAAAATTCCTATTAAGACGACGGTTTAAATATAAGGTAAGCCGTATAAAGTGAATAAATACGACGGTAATTTTAAGTTCACGACGTATCTTTTGGGATCTCAGAAAAATATGATTATGTCGGCGGTTTTCTATATAAACCGTCGTGGTTATTTACAATTTTTGTCATTAAGTTGGTCTACCGTCGTAGGATAACAAAATCCAATAAATAAATAGTAAAAAATAATATTATTAAGACGACGGTTTAGATATCAGGGTAGACATATAAAGTTCATAAATTTATCATCCAATAAATTTGATTCAAGGGTTGCACAGCCATTATGGATTTTGTATCCAATATTTTTCAGGGTTCAAAACCCAAGCCTAATTGAGATTGAAACACCCAGACTTTATTTTTAGGGTGCAATACCCAAATTTGTTTTCAAGGTGCAAACCCATATTTGTTTTCAGGGTGCAAAACCCAAGCTTCGTTTCCGGGGTGCAAAACCCGATGCTTTGATTTCAGAGTTTAATACCCAATGATAGACTTTGCATCCAAATAATTTCGGGGTAACTCACCCATGGATTTTGCATCCAAATAATTTCGGGGTTTCTCACCCATGGATTTTACATCCAAATAATTTCTGGGTTTCTCACCCATGTATTTGTGGCATGCTATGCCTAACATAGAAAAAATGAATTCATCATCCATAGAATTTGTTTTGCGGGTTTGATCCCATTTGATTGAAGGATGACAACCCATTTGATGGAGGCATGTGAGGATCAAGAGAATTGTTCAAAAAGCATGGAGGAAATATTTCTCAAAAGAGGACAGTAGATGGCTCATTGGTTGTCTTTGGTCTCTTCATTTTCGAATTGCACCTTTTTTTTTCCCTTCAGCCTCAAGCTGTGCTCTCTCTTCTCTGCCCTCATCTTTTTCATTTGCAGCCTTGCTTTTTTTTTTCTTTTTTTTTGGGTGTGTGCAGCCTCATGGTTGCCTCTTCCTTGATCTCCCCCTCCTTTCTGTATTATGTAGCAACCTCCCCCTTCTAGCTAATCCCACCCAAATCCTTCTAGTTTGTCAATTTTAATTACTTAACATGTTGATAATCATTTTCCCTTATGTCACCATACTCTCTTCCAAGTTATATTAGTTGTATTCCTTACCATCAACCCACTCCATTCCAAGTTATGGATTTACATAGCTAAGAACCCATTAAGATTTGTGGAGAACATTAAAGACTACACAAACCATAACCTAACCTCCCGAGTCAGCGATGTAATTTATGGTACTTGTTACAAGAAGCTATTTATTAGGCATCTCCTTCCGGTCTCAACCTAGTTCTTCCAATCATGCAATTAGTGGTCAATTAATTGAAAGCATTAATAACGGTAACAAGCACTCAACATGTATAGATAAATGAAAATTAACAATATCAAAGAATTTGAGTATAGCCATGCTACATCATAGTCCTAGTAAAAGAAATTAGTTCATGAAAGACTTATTGAGAAATATGATGGTTGATGAAGACATGGAAGGCACTGAATTCCCCAAGTAGAACGCCAAGGTTGCGAAAGCTCTCTTTGTATTCTCCTTTGAGTGTTTCGACTATGAGTATGAATGTGTGGAATTTGATGGTGGAGGGTTGAGGATCCTTTGATCAATGGCCGAAACTCCCTATTTATAATACTCCTAGAAATCCCACCTATCTAAGGTATAATTACAATTGTTATAAAAATAGGATTCCTTCTAGCATAGGGTCTTCTTTATTTCTCCTTGTTTAACTTGGTTAGACTTGAACCATCTTGAACTTGGAATTTTTACAACACTCCTTTCAACAAAAGGAATGACTTGGCTTCTTTTTAATTAATCTCCAATCTTCATCTTTTAGCCCCTTTTTACCTCAATTTCTCATATTTCACAATTCCTTCACAAATCTCACAAAACCAATTACAACAACCAATTTAATCCAAGGAAATTAACAAATAAATAAGTAAAGGAGGCATAATATATATATATATATATATATATATATGTATACAATCCTCTTCTATTGGGGGATTCCTCAAATAATTTTATTTGAGAGACGCCCTTTAAGGTACCCTACAATTTTTTCCCCAATGATCCAAACCATCTATTTTTTAGGTCTTCATTCAAAGATCATCCTTACAAAAAATTGGACAAATCGGAAACTGTTTCGACATCCAATTGTGTATTACGAAATCAATGAACACGGTGATTCAAGAAAGTACTAAAATTTCAATAACTCAAATGAGTGGTCAAATGATATCGGATTCAAGTAATTTTTTATAGAGATGATCTTTGACTGAGTATCTATAAAATAGACGGTTTAGATTAGTGAAATACAATCCAGAGTGGGGCCTACAAGGGGTGTCCCTCAATGAAAGTTCTTATCACTACGGTAAAGTTTATCGACTTTTAAAGTTCGATAAATCACGTTTTTTTCTTCGTCATGGTCGCATACACTGTGTATTTTCATACCACTTTCATACCTACCATTAGTCTTTCTGTTCACAAATTTGTTAATTGATGACTTGACAGTAGATAGGCCTCACAAATTATATAAAAATAATAAAATAAATTATGAAAAATTATAAATCCTTAAAAAATAAAATAAAATAACCATAAAACTCTCTCCATCCATTTCTCCCTTGCCTCCTCTCCTTCTTTTACTTACCCAACTATAAAATAAATTAATTAATTAGTCAAACTTAGAAATCAAACCTATAGGTCTTTTTAAAAAATAGTCTTTAAAAAAAAAACCCCCATAATATAATTAATATGGAATCTGGAACTCTTCAAGACTACAATTCTTATGGAATATGTGTAGCTGGAGAAAAATAGGTAATTGCCGCCCCAAATTATACGTTTGTATCCCTGGAAGCTTATTAAAAATTTGTTGGTAACAGAGCCACTTCTCTTTCATGCTTGAAAAGGAGATGACAGCTAGAGCGTTCAACAGATTTTATATTGCTCTACTGAGAATAGTCCTGCTTCAACGTATTCACACCGTAATTTATTGGCAATTGGACGCCAAGGGAAGCCGGCCTATTAACAATTTTGCTCTTCATGGTGCCTCCTGGCAATATACATTTGAATATTGAAATATCAACCGTTTAAGCCAATATATTAGTTGTAAAGAGCTTGTAATTCAAGTGATTAAAGCAAGCAAAAAGAAAGAAACACCACTTATATAAAAAAAAAAAAAAAAAAAAAAAAAACAATTACCATTTTGTCACCAATTTGGTGACTGTTGTGGGGGTTACAAAATGTTTTAGTAATCCCCACAACAGTCACTAAAATTGGTGACAAAATGGTAACTGTTGCCACTTTTTTTTTAGTGACCTGAGGTTCTAGGTTCGATTCTTCTCTCTCTCAATACTGCTCATATAAGATAAAAACAAAAAAAATCTACCGAAACATTAAACAAATACCTTTTGTTGATAATCTTATATACCACAACCACCACCACCACCACCACCATTGTCTTGTGGAACAGTTTTATGATTTTATGCCTAGAAAACAAAACTTCGCTGTTTTAATGGGCAGCTTATTATGAACAAAAAAGATTTGATATATCTGTGTTTTGGGTTGTGGTGGAATAGATAGAGACTTGCTGAGTACAGGACAGATAGAGAGGTCCATAATATGCATTGCATAAATTAAAATGGATTCATAATTAATTAAAAATTGTTACCAAAAAACAAGGAATTATGTTAAATAATTACAACGAAATCTAATTCATTTTAGTTGTGGTCCATTGAATCCATTCCCGGCGGCTAAGAATATAGTAAAAAATGAATTCAAATGTTGAACGGCTTATAATTAATAATACTTAATTAAAGTTGACCACTTTCTGTTTTTTGGCAGAAGATTTATTTCCGTACGAACATTCATGGCAAATTACTGTTTTTTTTAATTTATTTTTATAATCAAAGGACACTAAGAAAAATTAAATATTGAGAAATATGGTAGGCCGGCAGAAACAGTGCAACAATATCTGTACGAAAAATGAATCCTATAAAACATTCAATGGCTAATTAATTTGAATATGAAGGGCGTTGTTAATGATGAGATTAATTTAGGTTTAATTGATCATATATTTTCTCTCCCCATTGTAAGTTTTATATTGCTTGCTTGGAAAGCAAACAAGAAAAGCAGAGAAAAGAAAAAGGAGTGGACAGCTATAAACAATCAGAAGGATTGGACCAAAAGAAATAAAAAAATTTGTAACCGTTTATCTATGGTCTTCGCCACTTGTTTTCAAATATAAATCTTTGGTAAATTTGGTTTTAGCGTTGTCTTGTATGTATGAAGCAATTAGTTCCCGTGGAAAATGACAATTTTCTTCTAGAAAAAACACGTTTATTATTTTTATTCTAATTTTAATACAAGATGAAGACTTTTAACCCGATACGATAACCCAACTTGAACTTAATTAACATGAAGTTAACAGTTCATTTTGGTGATTACTTGATACGATCAACTCATGAATAACACAATCAACAATAGGGTTAAGGTTAATTAGTGTTCAACCAACTAAAGATGTACATTAGTCCCAAATGATACGACACAAACACAAACATGATAAGCATGCTCGATTCTGACCCCTTAATGTTAATCTGTACACTAATTAAGGCGACGGTCCATTGAATTGAATAATTTATGAGGACAGACAAACATATTATAAGCATTATCGATAGGATATGGTCAATTACTACAGCAAGCTACAATGCGAGGAAACACCACACAAAGACAATGGCATAAACTTGCTGCCAAAGTTTTCATTCAACAAGGGGAAAAAAAAAAGGGAGTTTCACTAAAACACCCAAAATGGGGGTTGAAATTATAAAAAAACCCAAGCACTATTTAAACATATAAACACACCCAAAACCCATCATTACACACACTCAAAACCCATTTATAAACACACCCAAAAAGTTGACTTTGGGGTTGATTTGGGTGTGTTTCTATGTTTAAATAGTGCTTGGGTTTTTTTATAAATACATGTCTAGGATTGGGCTTATTTATAAATTTCTAAAAAAAAAATCTAACCCCGTTTCGTGTCTACACTTAAAAATGTAGAGGAGGCAGCTATTGCACTATAAATATATTCCTACCTAAGCTGTCAACTCTTCATTAATTCACTCTCTCTCTCTCTCTCTCTCTCTCTCTCTCTCTCTCTCTCAAACAGAAACAGAAACATGGAAATGTCTTTGCCATTGCAAAGCATCAACCCTAAGGTAGCAAAGATGGCTCCAATGCTGCAGAAAGCAAGTTCAAAACAAAGAGCTCGTAGTTTTACACTTCAAACCATTTCCTGCAGAGCTGATGGATTAGCAATGCACAAAAAGAAGCCCAACTTTTATGAGGTACTTTCTCTTGGTTCTGAGAACAACATAGGCTTGGATGACATAAAGAAAGCCTATAGAAGCATGGCTCGCAAATTCCACCCTGATGTTTGCCCTCCCTTAGCAAAAGAGGAGTCTACAAGAAAATTCATTGAGCTTCAAAAGGCTTATGAAACACTTTCTGACCCGATTTCACGTGAAATGTATGATTACCAGTTGGGTTTGGCTGGTTCATCAGTAGGGTTAGGCGTAGAGGGATTTTGTATGGAGGTAAAGAGATCCATGTTTCGAAGGGAGGTGTGGGAAGAACAACTTCGTGGATTGCATAAGAGGTCTCAAACCAGAAGGGAAAGGAAAAATTATCGGTCAATGTAGAATTTTGTTTTATATTATTTTTATGTAATTCTTTGAATCTTTTTATATTGTCTGTTTGTAATTATCTATGGACACTAGAGTTTTATCTATTCTTTTAATCTGAATATACACCATAAGTCTGATTAATTTTTTTTTTTTTTTATGATGAAAATAATTTAATTTCTGAAGAAATCAGTACATCATCCTTGGCCCAAATCTATGCGAAAATACATGTAACCATCGACTGGGAATGACAAAAATTACACTGCTCATTGACCAACATCAGGCATTCACATGAAAAACCGAACATCAATGCCAAAGTTGGTTCATTGATTTCGGAGGTCCTAGATAAAAATTAAAATTAAGGCCTTTTATGTTGAATATTTACCTTATTTTGAACACAAGTTAAAATAAAAAGTTTCAAGTGTAGATGTTTAGTTTGTTAATTTATGTAAAAGAGGCTCACTAGTACTATATGGAAAGTAAAGAAAAAAGGGCAAAAACATTTGGCATAAAGCCCAAAAAGCATAAGTTACATATGTAAAAGGCTGTTTTTGCTACATTGCTCTTATTTACCCTCAACACCACCCCTTCTTTCTCTCTTCAGATCCACAAAACCAAGAAACTAAGAACACTCAATGGCATTATCTGGACATGAAAACATTAAAAAATTAATGTAGAAGAAATAAAATAATCAAAAGAGACGATGGGATGTGGAGGGCGAGCGGCTGCTTGGGGAGGGAGAGCAGCCGTGAGGAGTGCATTAATTTTTTCCTTTTTATTTTTAATTTTAATTTTGATGTTCAACATTTTGAAATAAAAAAATTATCACTCTTTTAATAGGGGTGGGTTCGGTTCAGTTACACAAACCGGCAACTGAACTAACGTTGGTCAGAATGCTACAAGCGAGACCTCCACCGACATTGATATCATCGGCTTGTTGACTATCGATTGAACCGATGGTTTTGGTCAACATGGTTTGACGAGGGCAGAACCTGAGAGACATAAGAAAAGAAGAGAGAGAGAGAGAGAGAGAGAGAGAGAGAGAGAGAGAGATAGAGATAGAGAACACAGAAATGAGAGATAAGGAAGAAGAGGCGGCTTAGGGGCTATAATAGTGTTAGGGTTTCTTAACAATTAAATATTTTTTAAAATTTTCTCTGAATGACACTCTTAAATCTATTAGCAACATGTAATTTCAACAATGAAGCATATTGGTGTAGTGGTGGTCAAGGTTTAAAACCTCCTAACTCCAACTTCTAACATATTTAATCTTTTATGTTATTGTCGGTTCAGTTCGGTCGAACTGACGATTTGAAAAAATCAAGCCGAGAGTCAAATCGTTCTTCATCGGTTTGGTTTAGTTTGTGGACTGAAATTGAAAATGTGAGCAAAAACAATGAATCGATCAGTTCGGTTTGATAAGGTTGGTTTGGTGGGTTTTTGGTTGAAAATGCCAATCCTACAAGTCTTTTCTATGTGGTGAGTCAAGCGATGAGGGCCTATGTAAACGGGAGATCCTAGGTTCGATTCCTGCCGTTGGTGAATCAAGCGATGAGGGCCAGGGATGGGGTGAAATTCCCTATAGCCTCTCCGGGTCCCGGAAGGGGTGGATGGCCGTGGCTTGCCACCAGCTGTCCCCTTTTTAAAAAAAAAAAAAAAAAAAAAAAAAAAAAAACAAGTGGTATTGTGCACAGGTGGTATTTATACAAAATTCCTTTTGAAAATGATAGCTGTCTAAAATTATGTTTTTTTTACCCTCTAAAAAACATGTTATAATATGTTTCTTCATAATACTAATACTAGAAATGGATGTATTTTTTATATATATAATATTATAATACAACGCGTTTCTTTTTCAAAGTCAAGTTTCTCGCTTGTTTTAGACAGTTGAAACCAAGATTCATCGGTAGTTTCACTCAACTCTATAAAATATTCATATCTCAGTACATCTACAATTAGGCTTTGAAAACGAAGTCTGATTAATACTTTTGGAGATGTTTTTATGTAAACAGATGATTTTATGGTTGTAAGAAGTATATAAATTGGAGGATGCCTATAATGAAATCATTAAGATAATTCGGATGCAATTGGAGAAGAGGTTGTAAGTTTTGGTGATTAGTTACTTAGGAATATGATTTCAAAATTGGTTGATTAAGTGACTTGAGTTTTTAATTTTGTGTGGGTGGTATTGTTACAATTCTTCATAAAAGATTGATTTTTTTTTTTTTAAAGATTTGGGGAGATGATCCAGAAACAAATATGCATGTGGAAAAGAAAATTCTTGGGATTAATAATACTAAGTTGAAATAGATATGAAAGGATTAATATTTTTGGGGTAGAAGGAATGCTTACAAATTTCTTTTTAAGTGATTATGAAATGGGATTACAAGGTAACTTCGTAGGATCTACGCATGGTTTTTAGAGATAGGGAAACAATTTAATGTGGGCGTGGTAATCAAATCATTTTGAAAACATTGGTGATCACTTATAAGATAATTTGTATCAAATTTGAAAGTTCAGTTCTTGAGGTAATAAGAACATGTTGATGGTATTTATAGATTAAATAGGCTTTGAAATATGTACAATGATTCCTGATGATGAATGTTGAAAATAAAAATATGCGTGAATGTAATTAGTTCTTCTGGTTAACTTGGACATGACTATATCATTGACAGTATAAGGCCCTTGAAGACTAGTAGGTGCTAGGAATGAATTTGGAGCTTGCCAAGTATTATAGTGTACATTCTTGTGTCTTGAGATAGAGAGTAGGTTATATCTAAAATATAAGTTGTACGTTAAGTGATTAGATTAAAGAGATCATGATACATATGGAGGATTTTGGAGATATAAGGATTCAAAGGAAAAAGAATACTTGTGGAATTGGGAGTATGAAATGAGAATCAGACAACCTAATTTTTACGAGGAGTACAGTATTTAAATTCGAGGACGAATTTTCTTTTAAGGAGGGTAGGATGTAATACCCCGAAAAATTAAAGGTGGACTTTCGTATTTAAGTGAAAAATAATAGTATAGTGAAGAATGATTATGGGTATTTTATCAAGTGATTTTGGATTGAGACTATTGGATTAGGTGTGTAATTTCAAGTGGGATAAAAATGCCCTTACGTAACATTTTGTTAATGTTTCAAAGGACATTTAAGAAATTGAAGTGAGACCATTATGATTCTTAGGTAGGGCAATAGTAATTGACTCAACGAACACGTAGGAAATCGTTTCTGAATTTTGGGCCAAAATGACCAAAATACCCGTATGTGTGAAAATTACAAAAAATACCCTTGTAGGCAAAAAAGAAAAGAAAAATAAAAAATAAAAGGGAATCTGAAACGTGGAGGGCAGCAGCCCACTCTTCTCCCATTCTTTCCTCCTTCCCTCTATTCTTCAATTCACAAAGGATGAGTCACCTATTCTAAATTGATGACTCACCTAACCTAAGATTCTTCAATCATGAATTTATTCTCTTCCTCCCCATTCATTGTATCATCACTCTCTTCTAAATTGAAGACTCACCTAGCCTAAGATTATTCAATCATGAATTTATTATTTTCCTCCTCATTCATTGTATCATCAATCTCTTCCTTCTTTTGTTCCTCTTCAAAATCCAAAATTCGTCACTTCATTGGAGCAGCCGAGAACTCAAATTTCAGAAGCTCAAAATGAGAAAACTTCCTTAATAAAGGTTGTTCATTTATGTGATTCCTATAACATGCTCCAATTTCAGTTCAATCCGACTAAGACAGACTTAGAAAGGTTGGTACGATCACAGTATGTCTACCACTTCCTGATTTCACAGTAATATGGTCGGTTTCAATATGTTTCTATGATTTCCTGTACTCAAATGACTTTGGTGCCTTCATCAAAGTTGTTTGAAATTCAGTCTATTATAACATTTCAAAAGTTTAGGTTGATCGGATTTCTATAGCCACCTTGGGAACGTTTAGAGTGAAACTTGTTTAGTCTTCGACCCTAGTTCCTTCCCTCGATTTCAGTCCAGAACACTTATTTCGAAAGCTCAAAACACTATGGTTTCTTCATGATAGTCACTCCAAATTCTCCTATTTATAATATATCCAAAGCTTAGCAAAATGAAACCATTATAACTCTCTGAAAATTGGTATGAACAAAACTTGTTCATTGATTATATTGAATTTTTGTTATAGATGTGTACTTTCTCTCAAATGGCATGTTACTTGTCATTCCATTGATCAAATTAGCCATTATCATCTCAAGTAAATGATTCTTTGAAGGTATGAAGCTCATCTTCATATTGTTTCTTTGAGTATTAGTTGTAAATCAAGTGTTGGTTAGAATGCCTCAATGACATATCTCTTTCAAAGTGTGCTTGTGTGAAGTTCTAGATTATTTTGATGTTCTTTTGTTCCAATTTCATTCTAGGCTTTTGTTACATCAAAATGGATATCTCAAGGGTTATGTCAAAGTTGGTTTTGTGCCATTTGAATTTAAATTGATTTTTTTTTGTGAAATTTCAAAGTAGAGACTATGCAGCTGGAATTGTTCTGATTCTGATGCATGCCCTGTTTTGAATACATGTTTGAAAACTTCATAAACTTGGATTTTCATAGGAAATGGTAAACATACTATGATCATACCAACTTTCAGAGTATGGGCTAGTCACATCGAGCTGAATTTGGAGCTTTTACAGGAATCACGTAAATGAACAACTTTTATGAAGGAAGTTTTCTCATTTGAGCTCCCGAAATTTGAGTTCTCGGCTACTCCAAGGAAATGACGAATTTTGGATTTTGAAGAGGAACAAAAGAAGAATGAGGATGAAAATAAGGTGAATGAGGAAGAGAGTGATGATGCAATGAATGAGAAGGAAGAGAATAAATTCATGATTGAAGAATCTTAGGCTAGGTGAGTCATCAATTTAGAATAGGTGACTCATCCTTTGTGAATTAAAGAATAAAGGGAAGTGGAAAAGAATGGGAGGAGAGTGGGTTGCTGCCCTCCACGTTTCAGATTCTTTTTTCTTTTTTT